TTTTTTAATTTTATAAGTAAAGTTAATAGGGTGGCACATATCTCATTTTTTAAAAAATTTTTTTTTTGTTTTTAAATATATCATAACGGGTATGTGCCATCCTTTTAATAAATCTTTTTGCATTAGAAAACAATAAATTCCATAAGTATTGTAATTTGTTTTTAAATAAATATACAGCAGTAACTACAAATTCAATTTGATTCTTTATATTGGGAAACTTTTTGGACCGTCTTTTTTAACATCATTAGAGTTTATCCTAACATCATTAGGGATAATAACTATCAAACCTAACTGGTTACAAAAAATCATAGACATAATACAAATTACAAAGTTAGATTCTCAAAGAAAAAAGCCAACTTTTGAAAAATAATTAAAACAAAAATAAGGTGAGCAGTCCTACATATGAAGCACCTGATATTCGTCTTTTATACTAGAATTTGAAACTTGGGACCCTTTCTGGTCAGGGCTTGTTTACCAATTTTAGAAAAGCCTAAATTTAATTAATATTGTGCAACACATTAATTTTAAGAACTGATATTATATTAAAATTGGCAGAAGGATGATCAATACTAGATATAATAACAGGATCGTCTACTTCTTTCACATTTTATTTTCTAATTCAAAAATTAATATCTTTTTGGTACAATGTATTCCAAAAAACTAACAATTTTAATAAAGCAAGCCCGAAAATCATAATAAAATGAATCTGATCATGATCTCATAGAAACTGAATAAAGGAATTAGAGATATCGAATACATATGGAGTTCTAAATTCTAATTGACCAAGTAATTACAAAATAAATAGAACAATGATGAAAAAATAAAAAATAAAAAAGGAAAGGAAGGGGGAAAATATGAAGTGTTGGAGAAGAATAATCTTTTCCCGATCCTTCACCCATTCAGCAATCAAAATTTCCAGAAAAATAAACGTTTTTTCTTTATCATTATGGCACCTCTCGTGTATCATGTTTAATTTGTCGTAATTGAACAAACTTTAAGCTGGTACTTCGGATAATTTAAGTCATGGACGGAAATTAATGATGATTTTAGATCCATCATAAGTACGTTTTAGTGACATATTGTATTACAATTTGTTAAGTTAAAATTCATGTGTTGATGTGGTTCAAAAGGGTTTATCTAATTAATTTCCTCTTACTAGGAGGAATGAATCAGCTTCAACAAGGCAAGCTACCTAATTAAGAGATAAATTTCATTTGGTTAAAATAGTAAACAAGCACTTGAATTTTAGTATTTTAGTTAGATAAGTTTTTATACTTTTATTACACCAAAATAAACCCTTAACTTTTAATTTATATCCAAATAGGTCCATAACCTTTAATTTATACCTAAAAAATCCCTTAAATATTTATTGTTTGAAATAAAAACTCATTTGAATACAAATAAAAGTATAAGAGTTTATTTTGATATAATAAAAGTATAGAGATTTATTTTAAAAAATGAAATAGTTTAAGGTTTTTTTTTAATATTTTAGCCATTTTAAAAAATAACATACCATCGAAGTCTGAAACTTATTACATACAATCATTACATTATAATTAATTCAGAATTTTACATGAATTAATTGTATGGAATTCATTTTATATGAAGCCCACCTCTACTAGTAGTAGATTCGTACCTAATTTTTTCTTATGATCGAATAATTGTAAGATTATAATAAAAAAAATTAAGTGAAATGCTCTGCCGAAATCACATAGCTATTCGACTTTGTTTTAGATTATTGTGCATGAAAATTGTAGTAGCTAGATATAAAACCTGCACCTGAAACACGAATCACGCTCTAAAACCTCACAAGTCTCAGCATAGTTAGTTAATTATCTTACATTCATCCCGCATGCTGATTAGTGTATTACTAATCACTTGCCTGTCTTGGTAACTTTCACCATTATTTTCTACTAAATAAATGGTACTGCACTTAAAAGTTGAAAACCAGAGATCAGTTGGTATATTATGAGTTACAGCATTAGGTCTAGCTTGCTAGGGTTTAGAAAGTCAAAAGATGGATTACTTTATAAAATTAAGAATGGTTTTTTTTTTTTTAAATCACCAAGAGGGGGAAATTTTAAGGAGCTATATATGACAAAAACAAGATGAAAGATTATGTTCCTTTCCCACACTGTCAATGGCATTAGTAATTATATGGGTGAGAGATTTTGGCATTCCACATTTTGGCATTGAATCGTATGAATGCGGACTCGAAAATGGTGGGCGTGGTGACTTGCAGCAATGTTAGGCAAATCCAATCCCGTTTTCCTGGAGGTTGGATTATAATAATGGAAGTCAGCTGTGAAATACTAACATTATGCCTTGCATATTGCATACTTTAAGTTTCATAATGATTCAATCATTTTCCATCCTATTAACCAATGCAAATAATTAATGGATTTAATCTAATATAATCTAATCATCCAACGATTAATTTATGGTGAAATTACAGCCGAATTGCACTTTTCCACAACCAAAAATAAGTCATCAGCAAAAGGCATCTTTGATAAAAGTCATAAAGGACAATAATCATCATATTTTGTTCTTGTTACCCAGCTTGCCTAGCAATTTTTCAATGTGGTTTAGAGTCAAAGACCATTGCAAGCAAGTTGTAATCTAACTTAATGCCTAGTTGGGGTATCTAAATACGCCTAATAGTTGGTGTAAGGTTGTCTTTGATCATCAAATTTAGAATAAGGAATTAAAAAACAGTGTGGGATCACTTTTTTTTTTTTTTTGGCAATTTTTTTTAAAACTTTGAACTCTTGCAAAATTGTCAAATAATCTTTTCATGTTTATTGTTGTGATGTAATGTGACATTCATATTTTATTTGACTTGATGTTAGTATAATTATTGGTTCATTACTCCTATTTAACCATGAATTAATGAGGCATGCATGATGTTTTTTAATATTAATATATATACATGATTATTTACGTAGAAGATCTATTCTTTTGAATTTGAAATGGAAATGATGGAAAACTTTACACTTCACAAAATCATGGTAATTAGTATAAATCATTTTAGAAATTCCCATGTTGTTTTATTCCAAAATTCATTAGTTATACAAAATAATTAGTTATGTCATCCTCACTTCTACTAGAAATCTACGTACTAAATTTGCGTAAATTATAATCCAATTTGAATGACACCCTAAACATTTATTTATTTTGTTATGAATGACATCCAAACATTTAGTTTAATGATTGGCTTGTTTTTACTTCATTTGCCAACTAAATTAAAAAAAGAAAGTTTTTTGAATGAGACAGCGAGAGATGAGTTGAACTATAGGGAGTAACTTTCATGCTAAATATATGTGATGAAGGCTTTGTTTTATATTTTATATTTATTTGGGATTGATCTTCCTTTTACATAAGTCACCTCGCATTAGTAAATTTAAGCCTCTCTTGATCATCAGTATTTCTATTTCCCCTCTTAATTGCCCTTTTGACGTTGAAATATTGCATTATTTTCATTAGTTAAATATTGTTTCAACTATTCTGTTAAGCAAAATAGAATTGTGATTTTTCATAGGTGATTCTAAAACCCTAACTACCACTAGCTATCACTGTCAGCAAACTTCAATTTCACAAAGGCAAAAAGCCTACCTTAAACCTCAACCAAGAACTTGTAAATAATTAACAACAAACTTTCTATAATCTTAATAATGTTTGATTTGATTTATTTAGACAAGGTCAAGAGAGAAGAGGAAGTTGAATCCAGTAGTTTTTGAACTTAATTTCATTGGGGGGGCTATGTATAGTAGTTTATATTGTTTGCTTAGCTTATCGACGGCCATGAGGGTGAAAAGAAAGCTATTCTTATTTGTGGTTAGTCTGTGCTTTTCTCTACTTTTAGATTATTATCAATTATTGGTATTAATCTAATTGAAATCGTCTGCACTTGGTATTTCGATTCAATGATTAGTGCATATTTCTCTTAATTTAACTTAATAATTGGCTTTGGATCTCTTTCCCTCAACCCCCCCCCCCAAAAAAAAGAGTCAATGAGTTTTATTTTAGTGACAAAGAAAAGGTTTTGTAATTTTGAAGTCTCAAATTTAGGTCCTGTCATATGTGAAATTTTGGTCCAATTTTATGTTAGATTTGTTTAATTATGTATTGATATATTTGTTTGATTTAATTCATTGATTTTTGTTTATACGAAGCATGCATGTTTCCCTTTATTGTAAAGATGAGTACTGATAACTGATTAGTACAGATTGATATTGTGGACATGTACATGATCAATTTACTCTTGCTATCTGATTTTAGTCCAATAGACTTGGAGATGCTAACCCTAGCCTCCAACTCTAACATGATTTAAAAAAAAAAAAAAAACAAAAGCACTGTTTTGCTGACATGTAAGTATTTTCTTATAGCTGAGCTGTTACTGTGATTGAATATCTAAGCCCATATCTGGAATTCATATGCTAAATCCAATCAAAAGTGCATGATTAATCGCATACGCATGAAACAGTTAATTTAGAATACTTTCAGTTAATGAATATGTACTTTTTGCATTATTCAAGCAAATGTTACAGTGGAAAATCAAAAAAAAAAAAAAAAAACAATCCATTTCCGGAAGAACTGCTAAATCTTACATTTTTACAGAGGGAATTTCACTCTACAGAGGTCAAATCCCTGAAAAAAACCATATCCAAATTGTAAGAGAAACTGCTTGCTCATCTCTCCATTGTAGAACAGTATAGACGAATATCAATAAACACTATGTTTAATCAAATTCAGAGAGAAGAGAGAGATTTCATTGATTTTGTAAGGCGGATGAAATCTCTAAGCTCTCTCGGAAACCAAAATTAACATCAGGGGAAATGAACGTGGCCAACAGCTGAAACCACGCAAAAAAAAGAAAAAAAAACAAAGTACAGAAGAAAAACCCTGCAGTAGTTTGAACTTCACGGTAAAACAAGTTTTGGGAACAAGAGATTTGGTCTAAAAAAAAGGAGAAATTTATGAGCCTTGGTTTCCTTCAGAAGATTTGAAAAAAAATAAAAATTAATGATGCAGAAAACTGATGAAGCTTGTTGGCCTTATAGGATTTCACATAAACTTCAATAAAGCCACACTCAAGTCCTTAACAAGATCCTTCACTGTCATGTTGAATTCAGCATCTTTCTGCAAAAAAAAAAAAAAATGGTGTTGATTTTCATTGATCATGTTAAACTCAGTTTCAATTAATTAAAATCTCCTAAGAAAATTAAAGCTGTTTAAAATCTCTTCTAGTTAATTACCTGAGCAATTATGGTCATGTCAAGAGTGGAATTCCCAAAAGGCAAGACACTGCTATTAACAACAGATAGATGAAGGTTTTCTATTTCGCATAGTATTTTCGCCACAAAACCATTCTGTTTCTCGCAATGGATTCGGATGAGAACATCGTTATCTGAGACTCTAGCTTCAATTTCTGGTAGTGCCGCATCAGATAAGGGGCCATCGGAGTTTTCTTCACATGAAGAGGATTCATCATCAGCTGATAGCTGAGATTTCTTCACAAAAACTACAGATTCCACTGTTCTCTTCTTGGTTTGCTCCTCAAACACTTTTAAACGTTCTTGAAGTTGTTTCACATACTTGATAGCATCTCCAAGAACTGAAGCTTTGTCCATCTATAAACAAAAAATCTTGATTTTGGTCAAAAGATTGATCCTGACCAAAAAAAAAAAAAAAATCAAGAGAAAAATGAAGGTATACGTGGTACCTTCTTCAGGCCAGGAATAATTGCTGAGAGAGCTATGAAACGCTGGCTTAGCTTTTCTCTTCTCTTTCTCTCAGCCAGTATGTGATCTTGAGCATGTGAAGGGCTTCTAGTCATTGAGTAAGTCCTCTTGACCCCTTGATTGATTTTTGGTGCATAATTTGAGTTCTCATAAGGACCATTTGTGATCAGAGGTGAAAAATTCATATTTCCTGAACATACCGTCTCGTCTTTAGGCTTCACAACATTGTCAATATTATAAAACTGCTGAGAATTGGCAGGCAGTGAAGTTGATTTCTCGAAAGAAAGAATTTGAGAGGTGGGAGAGGATGGTTTCTGAGGAACATGTTCAGTGGTTGTGCTAGACTTCCAACTACTGCTATTTTTGAGCTGTTTTCTAGCTGATCTCTCAGAAGTTTCAATAGATGAACCGCTAAAAGTTGTGTTTTTGGTGTTGAAATTAGGGTAAGAGGAATAGCTCTCAGAGGAAAATGATTGCTTGAGGTTCCCTCCTGCCAAAGCAGTGGCAACATCTTCTGCAGCAGAAAGTTCAGGCAAATAGTTCATATGACATTGGTGGATGATGTTGTATTCATCCATTCCCTGGAAATTCAAAACCCCAAATTAGAAAAATTAAAAAGAAATATATAATAAAAACAAGGAGGAAATCTAAAGTAGCAACTACATATATTGTTATCTCCATCCTTTCTGTTTAATCAGTATTAATCTTACCAATTCAGATAACCATTTTGCTGATGAAGAGTCCATTTTTGTAGCCAGATGTGAATCAGATTATCCTGGAAAAGTTCAAATTAAGAAGGCGCCAATACTTCAGACATGAAGAAAAGAAACCAAACGCATATACAAAAAAAAAGGAAATTGAAACAGAATAAAACTCAGGTTGAGACTCAGACCTTAAAATGAAGTTGAACAAGAAAAAGAAAAGCAGAGATGCAAGATTACCTTTTTTTCTTGTAATTATAAAACTGCTGTAATTATCAGCTATCTTTTTCTTCTGCAGTGGTTGAAAAAACCTGAAAACTGACTTCTCCTTTCTTTCCCTCTTATAGTTGTCTGTGATCCATCAATTCTTCTCTAACCCAAGTTGGAAAATTTCATCCCTATCCTGAAAACATTATTCAATTCAAGGCTTGCTCTCTCTTTCTCTCTCTTGACTGAAGATGGAATCATGGAACCGCAAAAATAAAGAAAAAATGTTAATAAAATAATCCCAACTTGATCCAAGAAGAGATTGCGAATCAAGAAGGAGCAGGAAAAGAAACAATATATTTTCTCTCACTCTGCCAACCAGGAACAGAACTGAAATAATTATTGAATTATTCATTGAAGTCCCTGTCATGAATTTTATAATTTGGTTTTGATATTGTTTCCATTCCCACTAATTAGGTCTTGATATATTTTTAATTTCATTTCAATGATTATTTGTTGAACAATTATAGCCTACAAAATGAGGCCTATTACAAACATCAATGCTTACCTGCACATCATCAAAGCTTCCATACCCTGCGCTGTAATTATCTCGTCATCTCATCTAAACCAATTGGTGGATCCAGTCCAGGGTGTGAAAACCGTCACGATAATTGTCATATTTTTTTAATTCCATTTAGTTTCTCACATGCCAAATTTCTCAAGCAAGACAAACTCATCATGTCATATCAACAAGCCAAGGGCTTGATCACGAAAGTTTTTTTATAAAGTACAAACTCAGCATTTCCTAATACTTGAATCTTGAAATTGTCTTACCATCTTTCCCATAAACCATCACTAGAACTGTAAGTGATAAATGAACAAATGAATAGATTTGGATCAAATTGTTTTAGGTTCGAGTCATTTTAAATTTAGATCATATCTTTAATTTAAGTCTTGACGGGTTGGAGTTCTAATTTTTAACAAGTTTTAGGTTTTTATTTATTCTTTCACCTCTAAAATCTGTTATTCAATGGTTTTAATTACTGTGCATATGATTGATATTAATCTATGATTGCATCAAAACCCTGATAGCTCAGTTAAGAACATGTTTGTTTGCTGTGCATATGATTGATATTAATCTATGATTGCATCAAAACCCTGATAGCTCAGTTAAGAACATGTTTGTTTGCTAAGCAGCCCGTATCCTTGTGACCATGCATATGCCGACCTTGTTATGATATATATTTTTATTTTATTATTTTATTTATTTATTTTTTTTGGTTGGAGGCTTCTTCCAATGTGAAACTTAGTACACTGTTGAACCATTTTAATACTATTTGTTTGACGATGTTATTAACATATCAATTTTATTTTTTCATGAAATTACATGTATCAATAAAAGAATAATTTTACAATCAAACAACTTTTAACATACATTTAGTAAAAGAAATTAATTAATAGCCTATCCAAATATTCGACAAACTAATATAAAGTTAGACAAAACTTGGGATTTGAACTAAGAACAACGGAAAAAAAAATCTGATTTTTATATTTGAAAATAGAGTAATTCAGTTTCTCTTTTGTTCCTAATTATATAAGAAATTAATTCATTTGTGGGACTCCCCATCCCCAAGATTATTGCTATTTTTTTGGTACAAAAGATTTCGGCTCTGCTGATCTTCATGATCTTTGTTCCCATTTCTTAATACAACTGCCAAATTGCCGATCCATTACCTTCATCTTTCATGTCAAATTCATCTAGAAAAAAAAAAGGAAAAAAAACAGCAAAGTTTTTCTTTTTTATAGGATTATACAGCTACAGTAATTGAAAGTACAACCATATATGATTCAACAATGGTTTAAAGGAATTTGAAATTTATTTTAATTAATTTATGTAATCATACTTAAAAATGTAACATTTAATAAATTTAAAATTTAAATCTTAGCAAGACAGCATATGCAATTTTTTTTTTTTTTATAAATTATAACTTTAAAAAAAAATGTTAGAAAGGAGAGGTTTCAAGGAAGAATCATTAAGTTTTCTTTTATTACAGGCTTAATAAAATAAACATTTGCAAATCGAAATGGCTATTTATTTTGTACTAATCATATTAGAATTAATGTTCATTTCACATGTTTAGAGAAAGTCCGAATTTTTCCAAGTAATTAAAGAATAGGAAAATTTTCTTTAATTTATATTTACTCATTCCTCACTAAAACTCCATAATTAAAAACTTTACAAGTAAAGGCCACTTGCAACTAGGCAAAATGTAACAAGTTTCTAGAATAAAAAATGGGTAATTTGACTTTTGCTTCAATTTGAATCGAATTGTGCGTAAATGGACCCACATGGGGGATTGCAACTTGTAATTTGGAATAAACAATTATGTGCATTTTCAAGGGCTCTTGTTTTTCTTATAAAGGATGTTTTAGTCTGGCGATAGAGAAATGTATTATAAATGTTAAAATTTTAATTTTAAATTTATTATAATCTTTTTAAAATAATTATATAAATCAATTAGATTGAGTTTTAAAATCACAAACTCTTTTTTTTTCCAGCACAACCTCTTATTTATTAAGACTAATTAGTTTATTTTGTGAAGGAATTTTGCCATTTCCGAGATCATTGGATACATGCATTAATGGCGTTCCACTTCGAAGGTATGATAATATAATAACAATTGTGCAATTCTTAAAGTTGGTCTTAAACTTGAATTGAGTTGTAAAATTTTGGGTAAAATTTTAGATCTGAATTCCCAAATCATGTGAAGTAATATGAGCTTTTTTGGAAAGGTATCGAATTTCCCTAAACAATACATAGAAACAGAATAGATGACCCAATTTAAGATTGGTATACTACTCAAAGATTGAAGGGCTAGATCCATATCTTTGGATAATAATTTTCTATTAAAAAAAAATCAAGAAATTGGATGAAGTTACATGGCTGTCTAACCCGCGAGAATGGGCAATTGGGCACTAAGGTTACCCGACACAAAGGCCGATGCCATTTTTGTTGTCGTTTTGTGTTACACTGTTCGTAGGTGGACAGTACTATCACAGGACAACCTGGCTGAGCACATTATTGGCCCTAAATCTTGTTTGGAGCACGAATTTGTCTTATTTGGTGTCCAAGGCCCTACCTTCTTTCCTTTTTTCTTGGCAATTATGCAGGGTCGTTGGGTATCCAACAGCATAGGTATGTTGCTCAATGTTCTGAGTTTGGTGGACTAAATGCAGAACTTCAGCTACTATAATGAAAAAAGAAAGAGAACAAATTGATTTCAGCAACTGCAATGCATTTGTTCTCAAAGGGTAACATGAATTCTCGTTTCATTTTCAGATAATTGGAACGCATTTGGAAACGTCTAGCTTGCTGAATCTCTTAGACAGACCTGATTTATTGTAGCAAAATCGTTTCCTAGTTGTATGGTTATGAAGTTTGAAAAGTTTTACATAGCCAATTCCTGACATGCCTCTTGAGCTTTATAATAGACCATCATAAATGGTAGCTGTTTGGGATATTTAATGTTCAAAATGATATAATTTTTTTTTTTTTTTAAAGTCTTCAACAGATAATCAAGAGTATTTTTATCATTTGTATTGACATGACATGTCAAGTCAATCTAATATGATCAGTGTCACTTCAACTCAATCTTATTTTAATTGTCTTCTTATGATCCTCTCAACTTATTTATAAATATGAAAATTCAAGTATCATGAAATAGGTTAATGTAATATATACATTTTTTTTTATTTTTACTTTTTCACTTTCTTTTTAACCTGACCCTTATTGATTTAGATGTCGAAATACAAACGTAAAAAACACCATTGCCTTTCCCTCTAACCTTTTTTTTTTTTTTTATATTTTCAAGATTGCCCTAAGGTTGGAGCTCGACACAAACAGTAGCGTAACTCAAACTGTGATACTTCTGATTTTACCTTTCCTAGCTCCTTTATTTCAAAGTTCAGTTTTTCCAATTCAGCATAAGATATCTTGGGATCGAGGGTGAGTTGCATCACCAACTAAAAAAACATGAACCATGTTTTCCACTTCAATCCAGCTCCAACCCTGCACTTTTCCTTAGTGCCAGTGCTCATTTGAGGCTGTATGCTTAGTGCCAGTGTTCATAAGAGGCCGCATGGTCTTGAAAAGATTAATTGCAGCTTCCCTTCCAACCTTTACTTGAGCATAGACTTTGCATGAGTGCAAGAAGGAACTCCGTGTGACATAATTAGGATCATATGGCATTTCCTCCATCAACTCCTTTGCCTTTCTCAAGTGCCCATTCCTTGCATATAGGTCAATCACGCAAGCATATTGCTTTAGCTCAGGAACCAGCCCGAAGTACCTCGTCATTTTTTTGAAATACTCTTATCTCTTTGTCTAGAAATCCAGCTTGATTGCAGGCAGTTTATATAGCCGTGAAGCAAATGTGATCAAGCACATAACTTTCTTTAGTCACCAAATGCTCAAAGAGTTCCAATCCATCAAAAACCCTGCTTGCATTAACAATTGCATCACATCTTGCAAGGAAATCAATAAGTGCGCTGTTCAAAATCAAATTGTGCTCGTAACCGGCTCGAACTATTCAGGCATGAAGTTGAAAACCAAAATGCCAGCTGCGTGTTTTGGCGCAAGAGTTTGAGAACAGTGCAACGAAGGAACTTTGTTGGCTTTGTTCCAGAGGAATTTACTTTACAGAAGGAATCCAATGCTTGGTGGTGGGCATTGGAAGGCTTAGCACAGATTGGTTGGCAACCACTTCACAATTTTCTGCTAAACTATTACCACTTGACAGTTGAAAATCACTGTAATGACAACGCTGTAGAAACACGGGCAAAATGGAATCTAACTTCCAGAGCAATAACAAGCACATGGCAATCTAAATTCCAAGAATTATTGTTGATATCAAAAAGCTTCCATTTCTAGAGTCTTCATGGAATCCTCTGTCTATAAAATTCCATTCTAACTTTCAAGTGTTGGCAGGAGGTTATATATTGAAAGCAGGGACGACAAAACTTTTTCTTGGTTATTGAACAATGTTTCCTCTTATTCTACTATTCTAATGATCCCAAAAGGAAAACAAATTTAAATAAAAACAAATTTGAACACATCTCAAAGGGGTGTTCTCGGATACATTGGTTGAAAGGGAATCATTAGCGAAATTATGGTACAAGGAAGAATGTTACACAAATAGCAATCGGTCCAGAATAATTCACATTTCAGCCGGACAAGCAAGTTGGTCTACAATTGAATCAAAATCTTACCTAGTGTCCCAACTTAAAGCATGTTAAACAACTGGTATTAAACATACATATCATTCCTTCTCCTGAGTCCAGATCCTCACAGTCTTGTCATTGCCAAGTGCAGCAGATGCGATCATGTTCCGAGTGGAGTGACATGAAACTGAAATAACAGTGTCAGTATGGCCTTCCAACTTCTGAACTACCTTCCGAGACTGAAGTTCCCACAAGTATACACAGTTGTCTTCAGAACCGCTGACAATGTACTTCCCATTTGTTATAGAGAAACCAGATGCAATGCAGTACTTTGCATTCACATGGCCAGTGTAAGTTTTCAAAAATTTCCCAGTTTCGAAGTTCCAAAGCCTCTGCAAATATATGTAGAAATAAGAAAAAAGTACACCAAATATTTCATAAAATTGAGAACAAAGACAGCAGGTAGAAAAAAAAAAAAAGCTGAAATACAAAAGTATAAAATTAATCAGTGTCAGCTTAATTGGCATATAAAAGAACTCAACAAATAAGACCACTATACAAGATAAATTTTCTGCCTAGGAAACTGCATTCAGAAACTTACCCCTATACGCTATAAGAAAAGCCAATTGATAAAAGGGGAAAAAAAAACTCAAAATTACTTCAGCTAAACAGATTAGTTTCCAAATCGATAACACCTAAAATTAAATGTGAGGTCCATTTATATGGAAGGAAACATGGAAAGGCTGAAACTGCATTGCAATTGAGTAAGGTATGACAAATTAAAAATTCTAACAGGGCATCTGGACAATACAAATACTAATACACATCTTCACAACCTAACAATTTTCCTCAGCAAGGAATGATTTTCAGTAGCAGCTAGTGAGACATCAGACAAAAACAAGTCATTCATTGATTCCATAGCTAAAAAAGGTGAAAGTAAGCACAATTCTTTTAAATTGCCACTGTTTAAGGTTATCTGATGAAGAGGAAACAAGGCCAAATTTACACACTCGTTTAAGATTAAGCACAACTCTGTTCTTCACATACATATGTTGAAATGTTATCTAATTGAGAAGAGACTTGAACATCTACGTGACAACAAAACAAGGAAAACAAACTGATGAACTAAAATAACTAAAAAGATTAAATCTGATAGATGATGCTGCCGAAGTAACCTTTTAACAAACAAAGTAACTAACATACATTAAAAAAAAGACCCAAAATTGAGAACTTACCAAAGTATTATCCAGAGTCCCAACAAGAATAAATTTCCCATTAGGCGAAAACTTAACATAAGAAACAGGCGGATTCTCATCATCAATCAAAGTCTTCATACAATGGCCAGTTCCAGCATCCCAAATCCTACAAAGCCCATCATAACTACTCGAAACAATAAGGGACCCATCTCGATTAAAATCAACGGCTGTGACAGGATCGGAATGTGCGGGCAAAACTTTCAAGCATTTACCAGTTTTCACGTCCCAAATACGCACCGTTTCGTCGAAAGAACCCGAAACGATCATGTTAGATTGAGGGTTAAAGTTGACGCAGAAGACATAGTTGGTGTGGCCGTGGAGGGTTTTGATTAAGGAGCCGGTAGGGACGTCCCAGAGACGGAGGGTTTTGTCGTCGGAAGCAGAGACCAGGAACCGGGAGTCGGAGGAGAAGGCCACATCGGAGACGCCTTGGTCATGGCCGGCGTATTCATGGATAGGAGTGAGAGTAGCGTTGATGGGGGAGACGGAGTAGGTGCGGAGGGTTTTGTCGGCGGACGAGGAAGCGAGGAGGCGGCCGTCGGAGGAGAATTTGAGGGAGGATACGGCGTTTTTGTGGACGGTTAGGGTTTGGGAGAGAGTGTAGGGTTTGAAAGGTTCGGTCGTCGTCATCGTCATCGTCGGTTCTGTTGACATATATTTGGGGTGAAATAGCAAAGATTCTTTTTTGGGGATTTTAAGGAAGTAGGCTTTGGGCACTTTTGAATTGTTAAGGAAACTAGACAGTGAGAAGATGCTTTGTTTTTCTAGTTCAGTAGTCGGAATCCGAACCTGAAATTCTGAATAGGCGGGTAACCCACTAACCTGGTTTTTAATTTGTATGGATTTTCAGGGATTTTTTTTATTGTTTGGCCAGTGGTTTATTCTTTTAAGAGAATTTTTTTTATATAAAAAAATCCTCTTAAAATGATAAAAATAAAAGTTTTGACAAATTATAAATATTAATTTTGTATTTTATATGCATTAATATAAATTATATAAATACATAAATTATTAGATCTGAAAGAATCATTTTAATAGTAAGTTTGCCGGTCATATTATAGCTTATAAATGCATTTGATTTAACTGGACAACTTGATATTTAGTCATGTTTTTGCTAGGAAACATACTGATAGAGAAAGAACTACATTCCACAGCTTCGCTTGTAACCGTGTATCCAACTCGTTACTCAAAATACGCGTCGAATCGGTCTTCTCTCCACAAGGGAAACAAAGAATTCAGCTACCAATTCCTTTTAGAGCGAATTCTCACTGACCATGATGCACATTGAAGAGAAAAGAATGAAAAAATGGAAAGACAGACGAGGGTACAAAATACTAGAGGGCTATACAAAAATGAAGGGATAGCCTTCAAGATTTAGGGCTTTGGTAAGTAAATGGTGGAATATGGGAAAGGGTTGGATGGTTGGAGGGGTTGGGGTTTTGGACGGTATGATTTGAGCTGCGTGTACTAAAAGCCTTGTTCGGATGGGATAAATCCCAAACAACCATCGGCTATCATACCATAACCAGCTATTGCTCCTTTTAACTTGTCTTGGCTGCTAATCATCACGTCATGAGGACCCTTGCTAGTTAGATTTTGCCTCATAATATCCTGCGTATCAGAATAAGTTGCGTCAAAGTATGAAAATTGCATAACAACCGAAAAATGATCTTATATAGAAGTTTTAGAACTTATGCTACAGCAATCGGTGTTCTAAATATTTACTTCATTTAATAGTCTTAACCTTGAGAGGAAAAATGAGGAAGGACAGGAAAACATAATGCAAAATATATGAGCAATGACTGAATCCTACCTTTTGCCCTTGTACAAAATCTGCACAGAGAGCTGGAGGAGGTAGATAGCTTTCACTGCATGATGGAGGAGGAATAATCATCTCTGGATATGACTTCCGCAAATCTTGAGGAAGATTATCAGGAGTGCCAAACCATGAAACTGGATGACCACCAACCCAGTTATCACTACTCCTCCTAAACCTGACACATGGTGGAGAGTTATCATGAGCAAGTAAGTAGTAGGAACTATGGTGCTCCTCCCTGCAAAAAGTAGGAGACAGATCCCAGGGCCTTCTAGAAAATGAATTTGAAGCAACATGTTGATAGTTCTGGTAGATGCAAGATGATCTTGAATGCCATTGATTGATAGAAAGACCATAACTGAGAGGAGCATATCCTCCAGATGCCAAATTGGGTGATTGCTCCCCGTTTGAAAGCCCCAGATAGCGTGTCATTGTCCAATCTTCAATTGTTATTCCCTGTTTGGCAGCAAGGTCCAATATCTGTTTCTCATCAAGTCCCAACCCCATGAGCAAGTTCCAAAGATTCCTTTGTGCCTCTCTTTGGTTATGAATTACTTGATCTCTCATTGCCATTTCAAACTGAAGCTCAGAATTAGCCATCCCCTGCATTAATATAAAGAAAACAATGTGCTTACCTTTGCATAAAGTGGCAATTAGCAGTTATAGATAGATACCAAAAGTCATTGGATGATAATACATATATACCAAAAGTAAAAAATTTCAAAGGCTGTTGTAAAAAATTTCAAAGGCTGTTACTGCCCACTCACCAGGAGTCTGTATTGACTGAGTATACGCAGGTAGGTTTTATTGCCATTGTTACTAATGGCTTCCTCAATCATACCTTGGAGTTGGCAGCGATGCTTTTCATTTGCTTCAATTTCCTACAAGAAGATTAATTATTGACGTGATCAGAAGCAGCAAAAGATCTTAACCATATAAGCCTCTGTAGCAGCAAAGTTTACCTTCTGGTAATTAACACCAGCCTCATCATTGTCACGGATGTTATCAAGAATATCTTGCCTCCTTACCCTCAGAACTTCAACAACCGTACCATCCTTTTCAGAAGCCTATTTACAAAAGGTTAAAAAAATAAATATCATAAAAAATGATATAAGTAAATCCAATTACCACCTCACCACTTACACACCACATGACAGCTAAGTAACGGGGAAAAAGGAAACTGAAAAACAGAAAGCTAGGCATATGTTATTGTTACCTTGACCATAATATTCTTAAGACATGTAAAGGCATGGGGTGGGTAGGTAGGTTGATGATTGGATGGGGATGCAAGTACTAATAACTCAAACATTCAGTACTTCACTTCTATCTCAGTATCATAATTCAAAGGATTTTGTCAAGAAAAAAGAGAAAACCACCATTTTCCATGCAGAGCACAAATCATTAAATATAGGCAAGAAATCGTAAACCAGCAGCCTTAAAGTCTAACCGGTTGTTTTGCAATGGCATCATCAAGATGTTGGAGTTCAGTGCGGTTTTGAAGATTGGTTTCCTCAAGCTCATATAGTGCCTTCTGTAAGTTTATCCGTTCCTGAACGTTTTCACTGATTTCTTGGCTCAAAACGTTTAACCAAGACAGTTCATCATCAGCAGCCTTTTCAGTTGGTTTGACACTCAACTGTGATTCCTTTTCTGCTAGTTCTTTCTTCAATCGGAAAACTTCATTCTATGCAATGAACAGGATATTACACCAAATAAGATTGCAATCAACAATAACCTCAATGAAAATCAATCAAAAAAGTTTACCTGAAGACTGTCAATCATTCGCTGGTAATCTGAGACATGTGTATCAATTGTGCCTATATTTTTCTGAAAAAAGAACAAAAGATAATGAGGCATTTGATAATACAGCATAACAAAAGAACTTACTGCTCTTGACCTGAGGGGAAAGAAAAGGCAAACACAGTAAGAAAACTGGGAAAAAGAACTCGATGCATAATCTATCATAAAAAAGGAGTTACATGAAGGCTTGATCAGAACTTGTTAAAAGCAGTTACAAGCATAAGCATTAAAAGGAACAAAAATAACCCTCATGATACTACCCAATCTTATGTTCTTGGAAGTATGAATAACGTCTTCCCAGAAGGTATATTCAGCCTCACCTGGATGTGCGTCTTTATTTCCTTTGCCCTGTCTGCATATTTCAGGGTATTCACAATGTGATGATACTGACCATCTGCTGGAGATATTGTAGCAACCATCACTGTCTGAGAATTACCACTCAGACCATCTTTAAGTATCCTAGTTAATTTACTGCAAAATTACCAGTAGCTTCATAAGCAGTGAAGACTAAGGCTACCACAGCTACAATAGCCACTAGCATATACCTATTGCGATATGGAACATAGGCAAGACCCTTCTTTTGTTGTTTCCCCAGAGCATTGATGCAGTTCGCCAAAGCAAGAAGTGAACGATTAATGTTAGCTCCATCTCTCAGCTTTTGGCCCCCACTGTTTGTTTCAGAAGCTCGTTCACTGCCAGCAAGATCCACAAGTGCAAGTTTTCCTTGCATGATTTGATTTTTATATTTGTTTCTCTGTTTCCTTCTCACAGTAATCTCCAGAACTGCATGTGATCTAGTTGGATGAAGACAACTTTATATGAGATCACGCACAAGGTTACAACACACTGAGAGCTCCCAAGAAAACACAAAACAATTTTGGTAAAGGAATTCTATAGATGATTTAGAACATCCAAAAGTGAGAACAAATATGAAAATAAGCAGCATTAGAGACAATCTAAAATAAAGAGCAAGAATACATTTATAACAAAAGTGAGATTCAACTAAAGCTTACTCACCTTGATGACGTCGCATTAGCCTCAGTGCTTTCTGTTTTCCTTCGACTATTCCCCAAATTTAGAAGTTCAAGAATCTTGTCAGCCGAATGAACCTGATGAGGAAGCAACCACCAAAGACCATTAAGCATCAACATCATAGCATTCACCCACAAATTAGAACATTGATTGATCAAAGAATGTAAAGCAGGAAGACCAATGATTAATATAGAGGAAAAATTCAAATATATGAGTTTCATACCAAAAGAATACTAGAAATTCTATATAACAAAAATATAAACCATAAAACTGCATGTGAGCCAAGGTTGTTGGATGTTTAGTGAAAAAATGAATCTCTTTTCCCTTCTGAGAGGAAGAGTTACAAAATATATGTAGCTAAGCCCCTGCTTTAAATCCTAAAAAAATAAAACAAGGCATTTGCATGGACCCATATTTCTATTGAAGCATCACAGAAACAGTACCCTTAATACAAACTCACAACAGATGAGAAAAGTCACTTTGAGGTGTTCAGCATCCTAAAATGCCATAAATTCAAACCAAACTTAGGAAAGCCAATATTGAACCACTACCACAATAGAGAACCAATTATATACCATGTGAAACAGAAGATACCGATTCACTTCTCGCGGGAAATTCGCATTCTCTTGTCACCAAAGCAATGAATGATTAAAAATATATTTGAAACTACAACTTGATTGCTTCTTGCTTTTATTGGTTATACTTTTCTACTGATTATATTTCAACTTAAGAAACAAAATAGTTCATACTTAAATTTAAGAACAAGTTTTTTTCATCAACAAAGAACAAAAGGATATACAATATCAAGTAACCTGGTTACATAACTTCTAGCTTAAGTATAAGCAAATTTCTTTGAAAGGATCCTTAAAATGTATCATGTAGGCTATTTTCCAACTTTGATAAATGATGACCTACTCCAATTTAAAGACAGAAATTAATATTGTCCATGCCAAACAACACTCAGATTTAATATATTCAGTTCAGTAGCTTGAAATCGACATATAAGAGACTGAACCTTAATACATCTTAGCCCAGCAACAATTATTCCTTGCTCAGGATCCTCTCTAAGTTCCAAAGAGCCCGATGATTTTTCAAGCAAATCATAGATAACCTAAAAGCATTTGAAACTGAATAGTAAATAACATACATAAGAAAAAATAATTAAAATTATCCTATGGGAAGGAAATACGTTTGTTGGTAAAAATCTATTCCCTACTTCATTGTAGACTTCAAGGTAGGAACAAGTAACTTCAAATTCGTCGGAGCTCTTGTCCTTTTTAATAAGATCAAAAATTGTGTGCAAACTGAGAACCATGAGTCCAGGATCATGTTGTGTCCCAACCATAGTATATGTTTTACCACTGCAAATTAATAATATAGTCAAACTGTTTATAATTGGTAGACTATAGATCCAAAAATCTCAAGAAATAAGTTTCAGATAGTTATGCAAACTCAAGTTGACTCAACACTCAATTGTTTAGGGAAAAAAAATATAGGTTGACAAGTTCTTGGGCAAAATGATCGCCCATTGATGGAATTAGGCCCAGGCAACGTGCAGTGATGCCCCCAAAGCTCAGAGACTCCCCCTGACCGTATTAGCAAAATCTTTTTTACTCAAGAAATTTATTACCGTGATAATTAGTCACTTATGAGAATATAGCAATGCCAATCCATCTTTTTTGTTACCTTCCTGTTGAACCATACGCAAACACAGTTGCATTAAGACCTTGTACAACTCCAGAGATTATAGTAGATATACATTTTTGGTAGGTATCCTGAACATATAAAGCCAAGTTAGATAAAAGGATCATGATATAAGCAAAATTGGAATGTGAGTACTCAAACCGCCTTCTGTTAAATACAGAAAAGTAAGAAAAGCAACCTAAACTGAACCGTGTTCAGTTACATCAGTATGGTTCAGTGAACAATAATAATGAAAAACGTGAATATAAAACTAACCAAGTTTCAGTTAACTCAAATTATCATCTTTTATTCTTTATTCTAGACCTTAGAGCAATCAAATGTCGGAGGAAATAAAAATAAATAAAACACAAAAAAAAAAGACCATGAACCTTAGGAGCCCCAGATACCAATAGACCAAACCTTCTTTCAAAAATCACCAGATGAGCACAAAATGGTACATTGCAGTCGCACCCAATAGAAATTACCAGAAATCTAAAAAAATTCAAAATTTACATTTCCAACAAAAAGCATAATCATCTTCTCACATTGGGTTTTCTTTTCCTTTAGAAGACACTCCTTAACTAAAATAGTGCTCCATTTGGAAAAATAAACTAGAGAGAATGAATTCGAATTCAGTTTATCACAAACATTATGATAATCACATATTACAAAATAAATTTCATATACGTGAGTGGCAATCATGAAAAATCATGTTTTTATGATCTCTATCACACAATTTATACTAAATTCAAATTCAAAATTCCAAATTGCAAAAAGATTACAAAACTTTTATTAGGAATAGTGACTCAAATCCCATAACAAATTTGTTTGAAATTGATCAGATATTGCTTGATGAATGAAAAGCAGAAGAGGAATTCTAAGAGAAAAAATATTTTTGATAAACAAGTTTGACTTGCAGAAAAAGAATTTAAAAAAAAAAAAAAATTCTTAATAAGCAAGTTAATTTGATTATAAATAAATGAAATCTCTATAAGATTAGGTATGAAAAAAAATGTGTAAGAGAATTGTAAAATTTTATAAATAGACACCTTATAAGACTACTAGAGATTTATGCGTATATTTAAATATTTATAAATAAACTAGAGAAAACTAAAAGTGTCTACATAAGAATGATGGATATGAGTGGATTAGAGGAACTTGAAAGGGTTCACATAAGTTTGTACCGAATCACGTTAAATGTTATATCTTATGTGATTGATTAATAGTTTGATTTTGCTTCCGCCAATGTGATTGAATTAGAGGCTTTTTGCCTAACAACTTTTAAGCATCAAGCTTCAAACAAGAAATTTAATTTTTAAAAAAAAAGGAATTGACGTACCAAATTTGTACAGTGAGAACCAAAGGCGTGATCGAAACAATACTTTTTCTCTTTGGTTCGATTCTGAATGCGATCCAAATAGTCCTTTGATAAGTCAGGATCTAACACTACCACCTCCTTCAATGTCACAAATTTCTCACCTTCACATTTTCAAATAAAAACTTAAAAAAGAAGAAGAAGAAATTTACCGCTTACCTTATTGTTTTTTACTCGAACAATGTCGCGACCGCGCTCTCTCTCAGTTAATGGTCTACATTTTACAGCAACCTATAAGAAAATAATAGAAAGCAAAGATCATGAAGAAATAAAAGCCGTGAAAAAATCAACAAAAACAACTGCAAATTTCAGCGTAAACAAGAGAAAACTAACCGTTAATGTCGTAGGTTTCTTCTTAGCCGGAACTGTAATCGTCGGCATTTTTTAACCACATCGATTTCAAACTAAATCGAAATCATTTTTTCTACTATCTTGAGCAAAGAAGAATCAAGAAGCAAATTTTTTTCTAAACACGTTAAATTTAAGTGGAAATTCAAAAATAAGTCTCCAAGAAACGCGGATTTTGTGAAAGTATTTATTAACTGTTCTCTTCACGAAAAAAACAAAAGCTTTTTTTGAATACTTCAAGGAATTTGAATATTTCTCATATTATAAAAAGGTCTCGCCATTTTTAAAAAATAAAAAATAAAAGAAAAAACTGAAGGCGGAGAAATTAGTGGGAGAGAAGGAGACGCGTTAGAGAAAAGATTCAGTGTTTGGTGGTGCAAATGAAGTTGATGCAGCGTCGAAAGAAAAAATAAATGCCCCCGTGAAAGAGGTAAATGAATAGGAGGGACAGACATTTTAAAACAAAGAACGAAGAGGACGAGGGAGGTTGTAAGAAAACGATCGTGACCGTTGGTTTTGCTTCTTTTTTTTTTTTGTGATTTAAACTTTTTAAAAGTGATTTTCAATTTAGTTAGAAAAGCAAGACCAAAAGGGATTGTTGGTTGGGTTGGGGGAAATTGTCACGAGAATTTTCACCTTTTTTGGGACCAACAATGATTTTGATGTAAGAAAAAAAAATGATGGATTTGAATTATTAGGTTTTTTGGATTTAAGATAATACAATGACATTTTACATAGGTTTTTAGTGTGGACATGTACACGTCTTGTTTTTAGTTGGGAATTTTTATGTATTTTTTTGGTTAAAAAATTTAAATGAGGGAAGGCCATTTTATTGAGAATTATTGTTGTTGAAAATTAGATTTAAACTTTACAAATTATTTTTATCAATTTAATTAATTTTATTTAATAAAAATTAAATTTAATGATTTATGTATTTGTATTATATAAAATATTAAAATTTATATATTTGAATTATATTTTATATATAAATTATGTTAAATTTATTTCAACATAAAAATATAAAATATATTTTTTATTTTATTAAATTTATATATAATTATTATTAAAATTTTAAATCATATTATATTTATATCTTATTTTTGTATCGTATTCATGTCGTGTCATCATATTATTTTTTAGATTGTTAGGATTAATAAAAACTTTGCTATATAACTTATTTAATTTGGTACTAAGAGATAGAAAAAAAATTGCATTTTTAAAAAAACGATATTCTAAAAAAATGTGAGCAATTTTTTTAAAATGAAAAACATAAACACCGTTAATTACATTTTTATTATCGTAATTTAAGTTTAACTTATATGTAATTTTACAAATGAATATAAATGAGGTGGGTCTAAATTGGCTTGCGGAGATTTTAAAACTCTATCTCAGCGATAGACTTCCACAGCTGTGAGATGAGAGACCATAACTCTGTAAGAATGATCTGGAAATGCGATCCATAAAGTCGGCAATTTTACTAATATATTCATGAGGCATGGCAATTGGCATTGGCGTGTAATGTTATTTGAAAAAACCCTGTTATTGCTAGGTTATTGATGTAGATGAGCGAGTTGTAAGGCACATTGGCATTGACTGTTGATGGAGCGAATCATTTTCAATTGCCTGATTAATTAGTTTGTCAGATGGCCCAGACTTTTTGTATTTACTCCCCAAAACATCCTAATTCTAACATACATGCTTCTTCTTTTCACTTCAATGGACCACTCATTCTACAAATAATTATCAAATTAATATCTTTGTGGATGAGAATCAGACTAATAATTAATACTAGTATTTTTTAAAATTTATTAAAATTATGTATAATTTGATGTTGCATCTGCTCAAATTTCATATTAAACATTTATCATTAGTACGTATGCAGCTAGGAAATTAGCTGAGATATCTACAAATGATTAAATTCAAACCAAAAGAAAAAATAATAATAATAACATTCTTCTAAATAAAACAGCAAAATACCTTCAATATCACGTCTTCTCTTTCTCCTCCTTCCTTCTCGGATTCCACTTGTTCTTTACAAGCAATCTGACTATTCGCCGATTTAGATGACGACTGGGGCAATAGTTAAAGGAATGCCACCAAATTGCTGTATTTTAGCTCCTACAACTGAAGCAGAGACTGCCTCAAGAAAAGTAACTTGAATAAATTTGCAAACTTCTATAACTAGGAAAAACAGTGGCAATAGAACTAAAAATTTTATTTACATTTGGGAGCATGCAAGTTTTTTTAGCATGTAGGTCTGGAACTTAAACTTCACAAAAACTCTCATCCCCGTTTCCATCAAGCAATGGCTTCCTATTGGCCATTGTGGGTGCAGAGACTTGACTTTCACTTTCATCATTAGACTTGTCAACGCTATGTAGGAAAACACCTGTCAAAGAACAACAATAATAAAATCTTAGTTAAAGTAGCAACGGTTTTGGAAAAGGTTGAGCTTTGAATCAGGCAATCATGTATTAACTGGATTTTCAGTATAGCATATGAATCAACGAATATTGTATCTTAATCTGGTAATCATCAGGAAAACAAATTCATCCCTGATATCATATGGAAAAATAGTTGCATCATGCTTAATTTCTTGGATAAGATGCTGCCCGACCACTATGGCACACGAATCATAACTCTTAATCCAGTAACAAATGGGAATATTTCACTAATTGTCGTCCTCTGGACAAGTTATGCACTGTTTGTAGCTTTGAGTACATTGGCATGCTTAAAGGAGGCTTCACTAATTTGAGAAAGAACAGAAAAGAACCTATAATCAGATCATTTCCTGGAAACATTATCAAGAACTTATTATTACTCACCTATAAACCATATTCCAGCAGCAAGAAAGAAAATAGAAGTCAGAATAAGTGCAGTTTCCCTCCAATTGTTAATATTATCCTGCTCAAAACATCAACAGTCAAAATGATGCTATAAAAAATTGAATTCATGGTGATAATAAATAGGTTGAGGTTTCATAGACATTTCATAATCCATAGGAGCCTCATTTGAAAGAAATGCAAGTATATTCAGATTCCTGCATCAAATCCTCGTAAAGTGATTCTACAACACGCAGGATTAGAGATAAAAGCTAGGTAATAAGGCAAAGATAGTGTTTGCCATTTAACACAACAGAATAGTTCATAGGCAATGGGTAAATTAGTTATCCAGAAACTCTTCATATATATATATATATATATATATATATAAGTTGAAATGTCATACTTTATTTACTTAATATAATTTCATTTAATTTATTCAATAATGAAATTTAAATGAGGTCCAAGAATCAAATTTTCATCCTAAAAGTTTTAATTAATAGTATTTTGGGCAATAATTTCACAAGATATTGTGTACATTATTTCCCCAAAAAATTTATAGGGCAATTGCAAGGCATGCTACATTTATGCATCCATTGTAATCAGTTGAAAGTCATGTCTCAAATTAAGAACACTTTAAAAGTCGAAAAATTTTTGAAATATTGTGTTCCAAGTTAGAATGCAAAATTTTTTTCAGAGCAAAAATAAACCATGAAATAGCATATCAATGTAAATAAATAGATCCACCATACTAAAACACATGAAAAGAAACAAGCTCAGATGTTAAAAAAAATGCACACCTGGAGAACCCCAACAAGTGGTGAGGAAGGCACATCACCAAAGATATGAATTGAGACGGTAGAGATGGCCATAGACAATGGTCTCAAACTTGGTTTGACACAATGGAGACACACATAATTGACTGGAGCCTGCAAAATAATGTTTGGTGAGAGTGACACTACTAAAGTAGAATAACTGGTTAAGTATTTCATGATAATACAAGTCCAAAATAATAAAATATTGCTCCAGCACTAATGTATTCAATACAGGGACAAATGAGGACCAGAAAAGATCTTTTTATTATCAAATGGAAAATATAAAAATGAGGTTCAATTTCCGTAAAATAATAAGCTACAGCTGCTCTGAAGCTAGTGAGTAAAACTCATGGCATAACTTCTAATTAAATTTTCATCTAACAGAACGAACCTAATTGAAAAAGGGGGAGAGAGAGAGCATTCGTACACCTCCAGTAATACAAGTACATAATTATTTGGAGAAAAACAAGATCATAAATCTCACTCCATTTTTATTTTACCTGTGTTGCAAAAACAAGTAATTCACCCACTGCGAAAAGAACAATGAAACCATACAAGCTCCTGACACAGAAAGCAACAAAGCAAAATATTGCACCCAGAAATGTTGCACCTGAAAGAAGCTGTTGCAGAAGAAAGTAAGCCATAAATACTGCAATAAACAGCAAACAAAAAGGAGACAATTTCAGACTATAATTTATAGCTAACTGTTAGTTTCATCAGGAATTAGAATAGAAGCAACTCAATTTTATGAAAATCGCAAAACATCCATCTGTCTTTGTCTTTTGCTGGTTAACGCATCACAATTTTTTTATTCTTTGCAGTGTTTGCAATCTTTCTTTAGTTGTTTGGATTTATAGAAGTAATATTGAGAGAGGTAATTTTACATTAACAGAATCCTATATCCATCTTTTTTTTATAACATCAGAGGCTGTATTAGACAAAATAACAAAGAATAGATCTTTTAGTTTAATTTCTTCAAAAATCTTCCACCTTTTATCAACTTATTTTTCCTATCCAAAGGAAAGAAAGTGAAATTCTTTTTTGAAAAGCATGCAAAAAAAACCATTCGAATAAAACGTCATCAAAGAGAAACAAAACTCACAATAAAAGCATTAGATATTGTAGCACTCATGCGATCTAGGATGAAACCACCAGATAATGTTCCCAAAATCCCACAAACAATTGTAATCCCTCCAAACATCATATCTGCACTTTTCTGCAAAAATCACAATTTAAATGAGTACAGCACCAAAACAAGGGGGCAATCATGATTCTTTATTATGTCAAAAGGAAAATGCTAAAAGGGAAAGATTTTGATAGAAAACAGAATGCATGTAAGTTGCCAGAAGCTGTACCATATGATAAATATTATAACCAGCCTTTGGCCCCCAATATGAGTATGCTCCAATGACAAAGTTGTATGCTATGTAACCTGCCAGACAAAATGTCAGTATAGTAATTCTTCACAAAAAGAAGTATTAGCATATGAAATACAAGATTAGCTACCAAGAATTAATAAGAAAAGAAACAAACACATCCTTTATAGACTGTCTTAGAAATATCCAGGATCAAAAATTGATATGCAAAATTGTGACAAAAATTGAAAAACTCATATAGCATTTCTTTTTTTTTTTTTTTTGTCAGAGCATTTCTCAATTGGATGTGAAGAGGGTCAAGAAAATACCAAAAACATTTACAACATAAACTTTGTCCACCAAAAGCACTTTCATGTCTCTTGCAAAACGAGAAAACTGATTCAAAATGTTGCGTATGCCTACTGACCTGCCAAATAAAATGTCTCAGTCCTTAATCAGGATATGGAACGGAATGAACCATAAATATTAAAGTACACAGCAAAAGTTTTTATGCATCTGTACAATTAATCTTAGTTTAGGTGTGTTTTTAACATCAGTAAGACAGGATGAGATACAGTTGTTTCAACCAAAGACACATAACCCACTTTCACGATTACGTTGGACTTCAGTCTATTCCCTGCAGCCAAGTGATAGAATATCATAGATTAAGGACTCCTCCATCCCAAGATTGGCTTTTACCTGTTCATATTTTAACTTTCCACGTAGCAAAATCTTCATTAGCTCCCAAGTCATAGTAGTCATTCCCTGAGTAGAGGCCTATTGATAATAAGGCTGATGGATACAGTATGGATAAGGGTGGCGGCTCTATTGCGTTCAACATTCTTAATACAATTAGAATCCTAACGCTCTATTAACTATAATTCCTTTTCGATCTTTCTTATTTGATGACTCCTCTCCCTTTTCTTTAGTAAAATTTCTAATTGTGAATAAGGTCAGAAGTAAATTGTTTTAAGGCAGTTTGCCCCATCATAAGGAACACTGACGCAAACAAACTAATGAAAAGATTTAATACAAACCCTGGGTTTAAGAACCACTCACTTGGAAGTTTTATTCAATTCATCAGCACTGATACCGTCACCTCCAACTAAAATATGGCCATTTAGTTTTGATGCCTCTGAATCTGCAACTAGGATAGGTTAGACTTATAATAAACAAAAGTGCTTTAGAGAAAGAAAGAAAAAAAGGGCACTCTACTTGTTGGCAGGCCAGCTTATTACAAGAAACAAACTTATGAGAGAGAGATAGAGAGGGGAAACCCAAAAAAATAAAAAAAAAAACTACGTTTGTAGTGTATGCAGAAATTTTCTGGTCCAATTTTCTCTCAAACCAAGAGACCAAAAGTTTTAGTTGAGTTTTGTTTGGGTTTCTAAACCAACAGTTTTGCCTCAGTTTCAATCAAAATCGACTTGATCCTACTTGATTTCAGTTAGCAAGAAGCTGATCTAACCCATGACATGCAAATCCCTAGCAATCACCACATTTGAAACAGTGATTAGACATTCTCTACACTGGTTTAAATATTTGGTCCAAAGTGAAAGGTCATTCATCGGGAACAACAAACCGGAGGTGCTGGAACAGGAGTATGAAAAAACTTAAGTATATGTGGATGATAAGGAATAAAAAAATTTGCTGTCACAGATAAGTACCTTTAGTATGCAAAACAAAAGAATGAGGGATTAAACATTCACAGAACTTGTATCCAGAGATTAATTATAGAAATAAGACCTTGCATTTTGATCCTTGTCTTACTGCATGGACCAGGAATTTGCATCATAAAAAAAACTTCATTACTTCTATTCTTTAGATACATCCCTAGAGACATACTTAGGTAAAACATTTGGATAATGAAAACAGGGTGAGATGCACCAAATTAATAAATCATCTATTTTAGGTTAGAAGGGTTTTTCTTTTTTTTTTTTTTCTTGCAATTGTGTTTTTGTCTGATTATGTTAAAAACTAGCTCTATTACTTATTAAGGAGAGGACCTAACAGTTTCTTTCTAGTCTGTCTGTTCTAGTTCAAACCTTGTACTAATGAAACACATTCATACATAGCAGGTGCTTATCACCCTACTATTGAAAGCAACTTCTTATTAAATAGAGGAACCAATAACAAATTAATACAAGAAGAAGAATGATAAGGAACATGTACCGTCAGTTATAGCAGAAACTGTCTCCACAGATGTCAATGCTTTTTTTGATTCGACAGGAGAAAAACCTATGGTTCAAAGTTCAGTAATGTTGATGTTCAGCAATTAAATTGTTATGGGATCATAAAACAGAAAACTCTGGAGTGCAGATGACAACTTAAAACAATTACCTTTCAACTGCAAGGGTTTCACCACAAAGCCCAAAACAGCGAATGGAAGCATCAACAATGCCTCTCCCCAAAAAGCATAGCGCCAGTGAAAATGCCCCCCAACCTATGTGATAAGCAAACATAGTTTGTGAATAATCATCAAACATCCTGCAGACATGTCTAGACAGTACAGAGGGACCCCCACCAAGTGATTTGGCCTAGGAGTATAAATCACATCCTTAATGTAAAAGCAACAGATAAAGTGAGAAAGCATGAAAGAGATATATAAACTTACAAATCCACCATAAACATATCCAAGAGCAACTCCAGTAGGTATGCACATATAAAACATTGCAAGCCAGGCTGTTTTCTGGAGTATGAAAGAGAATTAGCACGATCATGTAGTCTCGGCAGGAAGATAGATAGTTCATGTATCTCTAAGTTCTAAAGTTAAAAAGGAACTAAAACAAATAAACCTGAGAAATAGGAGCATTATCATCAATAAATGGAGCTGCAAGACTTATGAAAGAAGCTTCTCCAACACCAACCAGCCTAAAACATCAAGACCCAGCCACAGTTAAAAAGAAAAAACAAATTTAGCACAAGAAACTTATGAAGTAATAATTGAATGACAACCAATTTGCAGAGAGTATTGAGATTATTACACCTACATGCGGCATATTGCGATAAACCAAAAGGAAAATGCACTACCACATCCAGCTGCAGCCAAGGTCCAAACAGATAATCCCACTCCAATAAGCCTAAAAGGATTGTGGCTGCACTTATAGAAATTGAGTAACATTATAAAACAAATTGACATGTAATTAACTGCCAAATATACTACAACAATTACAATGTTAAAATGATTCATCTTGAAAATTAATGATGATTTCATTTAGTATTTAACATGGCAGTTCCACGAGCAGAATGCCACTTTGAAAAACTGTAAATTTTTTACAAGCAAAAAGAATTATCAAAGGTAATTCACCTCTTTGCTAAGGAAGCAAATATCGGGGATGCCACAAGAAGTCCAACCATGAATGCAGATGATAAGAGACCATCTTGAAAATTAGTCAGGTCAAATTCCCCCCTGCAAGCAAACATTTTCTAGTGTAAGACAACTAAAACTAATACTAACAAACATTTCATGAAAACCGAACTTACGCAGCAAACAAACGAATCATTTGGAGTAAAATCTTACTGAATTCCACTACCGGATGTGCAAATTCCCTTGTCATCACAAGTCCTAATACTCCCATTAACACCATTACTCGCTATTGCTCCTCGATCCACATAATTTATCATGTTAATCACACAAAATATAATCAATAACCTACAAAAAAAACAAAAACAAAATAATACTATAAATTAGGAATTAGCATCTCTATCGAAAAAAAATTCAACTCAAACAAGTTCTTCATTCACCTAACTTTTCTTTTATAAACCCTAATTGCAGATAGAATCAGCCTCGGCAAGCAATGAAAATTCAGCAAAAGTGAAAAACAAGCATTATTTCCAGATCAAACAATTTAATAACAAATCCTTCACAGAGAGAAGTTAAAGTTAAATTTTTTTTAATAAAAAAGGAAATTTTACCGTTTGGGAGTGAACCAGGAAGGAGTAGGAGGAGGATCTCTGGTGGAGGATGAACGAGCCATTTCTTCAGGTTGAGGGTTTGATCGTTGAGCTGAACCGTCCTTGTACTCTTGTTTTGAAGGAGTTGAAGCAGGTAACGCCATAAAACAATATTTTAATTTTATTCCTTTTCTTTTAATTTTTTGATTGACGTTTACTTCTGTTGTTGTTTTGTTAGTTACGCAATCATGCCTGTCTGCTTCCTTTACAACGCAACTTTTTCTTTTCTTTTTCTGTTTTTCGGTTTTTTTTTTTTTTTTGTCTTTGTTTGGTATTTGTTGGTTTTTAACGATATTTAATTGCTGATTGGTAGAGGAAAAAAAAAAGAGAAACGAAATTATATCAGCATTGTCCTTAATATTAATTATTAGTTAAATAAAATTAATTTATTTATCATTAATTAATTCCATTAAGGTAATCACTACACAATTTTATTTAAATGAATAAAATAAAAAGATTAAAAAACTAAATCTTGAAACAAATAATTAAATATTGGACTTGAAAAAGGATTTAGGATTTGATATGGCAAGGCAAAATTTTCACTCCACTCCAATCATAAAACATAAAGATACACTCACAGAACGTAATTGATGCTCTTATCATGCTCTAAAGCCTTAGCCAATAGTTTTTTAACTCAAATTTAACTATCTCAACAAATAAGTCTAGATTTATTATAATACAGATTTGGTAATTTAAAATACGATAAAATAATATAAATAAAAGACACAAAAATAATACGATTTAAAATTTTAGCAAAAAGCATAAATAAATTTAATAAAACAAAAAATATATATTTCATATTTTTGTGTGAATATGAACTGTGATATATAATTTTTATATAAAATATAATACGAATACATGAATTATCAATATTTTACACAACATAAACACACAAATTGACAGATCTATTATAAAGTAATCAACAAAACTTAAGTTATGTGAATACGAGGAACACTAACACAATCAGTGTCACTATCTGCTACTTGGTTACTTTATCAGTGTCACTGCTTACAGCTGATGGCTAGGCAGGCAATCTTCTAATATATAAAATATATACATGCTAATTACAACAACTACCACTCAAAAGGATTTGGCACTTGGGACTCAAAGACTTGAAAGAAGCTTTACAAATGAATATTCAAGTCACTTACTTTCCTCCCAAAACTGAGACTTAAGATGATACCACTTTTCATGGATGGCAACATCCTTTATTCCGCTTCTAAATCAGCTTTAGTTCTCGTGCATGGTGACCTTGATAAACGTATAAATATGTATATTCACATTCACAGCTGCTTCACAGACTTTTAACTGCGGTGTATGCTGAGACATGAATGTCGTAGCATTCTGCATCCCATGAGAAGTCCTCCGTCATGGCATTCATTATCTTTCTTTTCCATGTTGACGGGTTATTGTTCTATAGGAAGGATGGTGACAACACAGTTATTGAAAGAGTTAGCCTTAAGTTGAAGAACAAATTCTCACAAACCAATTTCCAAATAAAATAGAGAAACTGAAAAGTTAGATTTTATGACTGCACGAGTAAAAATACTCACAATTTCTTCAAGGGCCTGGCTAAGGGACATATTTCCGAAGGTCGATCTCATGAACTGCGAGAATTTAGTGATCTCATGGTCATGATCTGCAGAATACCTGTTAAGACATTGCAGAAAACAAATGCTTTGTATCGTTCTCTTTTTCAAATATCAAATAATAAGAAGTATAATACTTCTATTTGAATGAAGTCCACACGACAAGATTGAGTTACCTAAAGTTCTTATCACCGGTGTTTTCTAAAACTGGAGCAGCTCCATATTTTAAAGCCTTGAGCTACATTTCAAGAATCAACCAAAAGGAGGGTAAAAGGCATCTCAGAAAATACATACAAAGATATAGGGTGGTCAATTAAGAGACGCTCAATCTAGAGGTCAAGCAAATTTAACTGCAAACATGCATGCAAGCATTCCAATGTATGAGCATAGCACATGGCTACATCATATATATAAAGGTCACCACAGACTTCCATGTAGAACAGAGGTCAAGGACAAGTTGATGGAAGATTAGGATTGCTTGAAAAACAGACAAGGCTCCAATAACCTTCATACCCCATCAATTACCTAACATGCAGCCCTCGTTAGTGCCGAGGGTCAATACTCATGCTCTAATAGGTTTTTTTGAATATTTAGCATGTGGATCTAGACAACCGTATATTCTCATGCATGCATGAAATTTCTCCAAAAGTAATATTACAATGCCCAGAAGTTAGCGTAGAAGGTTGCTTGGAGTGTGACCACACAAGAAAATATTGCTTCCAAAATAAAAGCAACAATGGATTGCATATGACCATTTGATTTTTTTCTCACAAAGTACTTGATTTTCATTAATGGATATTGCCTTTAACTTACTGGAACTTGAAGTAGAGGATCGTCAAAGGACTGACACAATATTATGTCAGATCCTGCAAACATCAAATGCAATAGTGCTTCATTGTAGTGGTAAAAGAATTTCACGTCTAAATCCTGGGGAGGGAGGAAAGCATCAAAATAGATCATTAGCAGCAAAATAAAGAAACGGAAGGGGGGTGGGGGGTGGGGGAGGGAAGGAGATGAAAAGAAAAGCACCTCATAAAAAATGACAAAGGACAAACTCCAGGAGAGAAAATTAGTTTCAGTTACATAAAAACTTAAGCAGTTTATGAACTTAAGAAAAACTAAGTTGCTTCGTTGAATTATGAGGGAAACTTTTTCTCAAGGCATTAAAAGCTATATTAGAGCTAGTTACACTTGCGTTTCATGTACTTGTTCTGAATGCATTATGTACAAACAAAGAGTTACAAGATGTCAAGCTACACAACAAGTATAAGGAAGCAAAGGCTGTACCTCAAGTTCTTCCTGAAAAGATTTGAGTGCTCTATCTATGGTTGGCACTGCAACATTCCCCAAGAAGATAAACTGCAGAGGGGCAATAAACAATTAGGTTGACAGAAATCATCAAGCAGGAAGAAAGATAGAAAATACAAAACAAGATAAATTCACAGAAAACCCCAAACTACAGCCTGATATAGCTATGAACTAAATAAACATCATTGCTTGATGTTAACTCTAAAAGCATTTTCATAATTCTTTTTAAGGAAAAAAAAAAGAATGCAAGCAAAGGATGCAACTACTATTGCTAATTTATTAAAACAAATTTGTCAACTTACACAGAAAAATCTTTATAAAGCATCAACTAATAAGACCTTTTAAAAATATTCAACACTAAAATCATGCTTTTCTTTTTGTTTCTTTCCAATGAACTCAATTTTGGAGAGAAATATACACCTGGGCACCCCCTTTAGTAGCATTATAGACAGCTGCCTTCAATTTCTCTAATTCAAAATCTGATACTTCTGAGATGATGCATCCAACCTCAATAAAGACATTTTTAGCATTAGCACTAATCCAAGTCTCGTTAAAAATACAAAAAAGAGTTGAAATATTTTATGCAACACTATAACAACTATATTTCTTTCTTTACCATACAAATAGAATATAAACTTCTAGAACATTTCATGTATAGCATCTCTCCTCATGGCTTGTTGGCATTGAGCATTTGGTAACAGACTTCTTAAGTCATAGTTCCAGGTCTCAAGGGAAGGAAAGAGAAAAGAGCAAGAGGGCATTTACACATTAATTGATACTGCTTGCCAATGAAAAGGTAAAACAGTAAATAAGTGCATTTAGATTCCAGAAGATATCCATGCTAAGACTTAAGCGGCAACATAGTTACATTTATGTTTAGTACACCTTAAAGGAATACCATACCAATGTACATGCATTAAACTATGATGAGTATGTTTACAATCATATTTGCAAATAGTGGATAAGATATAAAAGACAACTGCATGCGCATAGCATTCCTTCAAATATAAACAAACTGTTGTCTGAATTTTAATCTATATCCTTAAATTGGATTATATAGAGCATCAAGACCTTAATATAGTAAATTAAATAAAAACCCTTAGCATAATAGCATAATAGCATAATTTCAACTTACAGTATTCCCCATTTTTTCCTGAAAACATAAATTCCCCCCCCTTAAAACTGCTTAAAGTTATACATTTAACACCTCACCCCTCCCCCAGAAGGCTAACGAAAAATTATGTACAAGGAAGTTACCAAAACAATTACATTTCCTGGGGGCAAATGTATATAGAAAAAATAAAAATAAATAAATAAATAAATAATAAAACAGGAGAAAGGTTTTTAGTAGGCTTTATCACCAAGGAGTTTTTTATTGTTAACCATCATACAAGAAACGCACTTCATAACCTTCTCTCTCTCTCTCTCTCTCTCTCTCTCTCTCTCTCTTTCTTCCTGTATCTTCCAAACATGGTTATTTTATTACCATGTAATAACTAATAATCTATCAAATTGAGACAGAAGTTGATGCAGACAACATAATTATGAAACACATACCAGAATAGAAGAAGCATGTTCAGATAAGCCCGCCTGATGCTGTAATGCAACTTTGCATGCATATTTTCCCCTCATGTTCTCTGTACTATAATTTACTGGAAGAAATTTATCCGTGGATGGATCCCAGATAGAGTTATCAAAGCCATAAGGAGCAACAAGCAATTTTTCCCTTTGGTAAAACACAAACAGAAGAACAGAAATAAAAATGTTTCTCAACATGCAATAGATAAATTTCTGCCCCATTTCAGTGCAGGAATGGCATGAGTTGTTCTTACTTATGAAGGGCTAAGGTAGGTTCCAATCCATGACTCATACTGCGAATGATCCTTCCTTTAGAGTGCATGGATGACATAATTACAACTTCGTTAGAATAAACTATCCCACCCTGCAAATGTTGGATAAAGTATCCTCAATGCTGGATTGAAAAAAGAAAAAAAAAAAAGATGCAAAAATTGGGGGGAAATGATCCTCTCCACTCAACAGGGTAGCCAAAAAAAAAAAATTAGAGGGTTCATATACCAACTCGCATTATGTAAAAATATTTTACCTTAAATCCAAATTTTTAAATTTTACATAAAGGAGAAATAAGCATATTAGCTCATTATTTCAATAGAAAATTACCACATGAAATACCATTTCATGGCTGTGATAATCATTCATGAAATTTCCAAGTCTTTGGTATCATTTTGTTTTAATGTTTGTTATTTATCTTCTGCTTTTGAAAGCAAAAAAAAAAAGATAAAAAACTATGTTTAGAGAAAAAATAAATAATAGTATTCTTGAGTAGGTAAAAACTAAAGATAAATGCATGTGATAATATATATATATATATATAAAATGCCACGTTTTATAGAGAATAATTATATTTCAATGCCACATTTTACATTTTAATCAAATATTCTTATTATAACCTTGGTCATGCTAACCCTAAGAAAATACTCTTATAAACCTATATAAAGTCAAATTTTCTAGAGTATGTGGCACCCTTGTCTCCACCTTTTAAGTAGTGGAGAGGATCTTTACCCAAAATTGAGAGGCTGTAGAAAGATAAAAACAGAAACCTGATAAGAAAATCTCATCAGTCATTATATCAATTTTCTAAGATTTCCATTTTGGATATGAGGCTTATAGGTAGAGCACTAAGTCTGTGCTTTCTGGACAAGTTAAAGGGAGGAACAAAAGATATCATCTATCCTTTCTAGCAAACTAAGACAAATGACTGCAAAAAGAGATTATTCAACGGGTAGAACTCTTATTGGCCATAAAACATAAGCAGGTAGAACCCTTTACCTTCAAAATGTTCACAAGATGTGTCTTACCAGCATCTTGCAAACGGTCAGGACGATGAAGTCTAACAGGATCAAGTCCACATAATGCTAGCTTATAAGGTTCCTCAAGACACTGAAAATTTTAACAATTAACAGCAGGTATAAGAAAATTTTGCAAGGTCAACATGACCCAATCGAAACTGTAAAACCAGAGAGGAAATGAATATGGTAACTTGCCTGTGATTCAAAGCCATTGCAAGACAATAATATTCTAGTATTTCCCAGCCCCTATACATGCAATAGCAAGAAAAAAAGAGGTGAGGATGACTTCCAATTTTTGACAATTTATAACTTCCTTTGCCACAATTGCTTCCCACTTATGTTAGAAACTGTCAAGAAAGACAGATAAACAAGTCAACAATCCCACATCATGCAAAAGCAATCTTGGAGGCAATCAAATCAATTGTCAGACTTTTCCTCCCAAATCAAAAGGAAACAATGGAATGCAAAAGTTTTGGCAAATAGATGTTTCATGAAATGAACTGAACAAGGCTATTGATAAGTTCCAAAAGTTTCTACCAGTTTCAGCCTCATCTTATGCCTTGAGTGTAGTTTCACCACATCTCTCATAATCATGGCTGCCAGTAAATGTCATCTTACAGGAAGAAAGACAGGTTATTAAGCGCACCACCATTTAAGCAACTTATCTGTCTGCACCATAGAGAATTCTCATAAACACCTTCCTTGGGTCAACAATCCCCTCTTACCTTATCCACAAATCACTCATGTCACATGAATTAAGACCAGGTTAAAATAATTCTTTTAAAAGAAAAAGGGAAAGTATGCCATTAGAAGAAGCGATAGGACCAAACCATCCAGACACCGCACCATTAGAACTGCCTTTCCCTTCTTCATTTGTGCACTTTTAACTCGATTATGTTTTCCTGGAAGTTACATGTGCTATATGACTCAGGCAGAGAGACTGACAAAGGCTACACATATCGCTCATCAAATTTATACCACATTTCATTCTCCATGATGTTTCAAACTAATGATAGTCATTTACTAGTTTCCAATAATTCAAGGGCTGGAGATAGCAAAACATGGACTTTAATGATGCCAAAAGGCATAGATGTAAAGTATATTGCAATGCAGGATTGGGAAGTTATACAACTCAATGCAAATAAAATGGGCATAAGAAGATGCACCTGTTTAGCAAAAATATCCCAGAAAAGAGGTCCAACAATAGCAGTCTCCCAATTATGTAAGTGTAACACATCAGGTTGCTTTCCAGATTTTGCTATATAATCCAATGAAGCACGAGAGAAATAGGTAAATCTGAATGTATAAAATGGATAAACCATTATGAAACAATCAAACAAATTGATGTGGATATATGATACAATAAGTTTAAGTAGGAAAATTTGAAGAAAATACCCAGTCAAATTCATACTACCATACTAGAAGTGGAAAAGAATAGTCCTCTAAAAATGATTTAGAATGTCAATAAAATTATTCAGATCACTGAGCTTCTCAAACTGTGCAATACTGACTTTTTTTTTACTTGGTCATAGTTTAATAAAAAAATAGTCATAATGGCTATGAAAGTGAAAATATCTAAGCTTCTTTTAGGAAACATGATATCCTACAGATTTGCCATCTCCTACATGCAAAAGGAAATACAGCCTTTTTTGGATTGGGAGTTTGAACAACCTGTATTTTCTGCCACATCAACAAAAAGAACGGTAAATTGCTATCTAATTCACCATATCATATCAACTAAACTTGCCTTTCTTTATTTGTATATAAGAAAAAACTCAGCTATTAGATGGATTAATATTGTCTGCTTTTTTGAAGAGGCAGATTCAGCTGATCTGAATAATGTCAGTTCAAATATAATTGGCTCAATCGCAGTACCATTCAATCTGAATTTCTAAGGCTATTTGTGCAAAATTTATGGACCTCTCAAAACTGCATGTCATATCATTGCTGCAACAGGAACCAACTCATGCTACCCATTTAGAGCAGGCTGCAACAGATGCCAGACCTAAAAGCACGTTGTTTTCACCATATATCCTTTAAAAGATTCAATAAACATTGCACTTAATTGAAAGGGGATGCAACATCTTTATCTCCAATCAATGTCATTGTACCATCCATAGCATTTCAAACTTAAAGTTGTTGAAAGTTGAGTCATTCCAGAGCTTGACATTTTTTTACTTATTATTAACTCGTGCTCAGAATGTTCCTATGCTTCACAATTTTCCTGCTTCTTATTAACTCGTGCAGAATATCCCTATGTCTGACCAGCAGAACACTGCTTGTCACACCATCACCCGAGTTAATTAATCTCTCTCAAAATGACAAGTAACTTGAAAGACACGAATAATTTCACTGGATCTCCGCAAGCACAAATAATTAGAGAGTAAAATAATAAGCAAGATGGATAATATAAAAAAAAAAAAAACAAAAAAGTCATGAGACATGTAGACTCACCGTTCAAAGTCATCTGGGTAGTCATATATACTGTCTCGGCTGAAAAAGGATGAGAAATATAACGGTTGAATAAAAGTAACTCCAATGCCATAGACAACCCTGGACAATATGCAGAAAAAGTGATATCAATTAAACTTTTTAATAAGCTAGAGATTGAAAAAAACATCTAGTTCTCTTTGCAGTTCCAACTAGCCAAAGGAAAAACCAATCAGAAATTGATACCCAGTTTTTTCCATTTTTATCACTGGAACCTTACTTTTCAGTATAAAGAAATAACTATACTCACCCAGTCCAGATTTTGTTTCCATGCAATTGGCCATTAAAGTAGGAATAAGACTCTGCCTCAACTTCTCGCAACCCCTGCACCTCATCTAGATCAAGGCTGGCATACCTAACCAAACAGCAATCTCCTTTGCATCACCTTATTATACAACGGCTTCATAAACCAATTCATGGTTGGAAAGTTAATGGAAGAGAAAATATCTGATACAAGTTTTTTATGCAAGCTATTAGGGTAAGGCATAGGTTAGACAAATGTATTCTCTCCTCATAGATTAACAAGTAAAATAGTGTGTGTGTGTGTGTGTGTGTGTGTGTGTGTGTGTGTGTGTGTAAAATCATCCATACCTGTTTCTTACGATTTATATGACTATATATCAAAGTTTATAAAAGAAAACATAGAGGTCAATTTGATTCCAAGGAAAGGAAGAAAAATGCTTAAAAGTTGGAAGCATGTCTCAGGAATTTGTGCAGATGCACAAGCAACAGGCGGAATCAACATCAGGGAGATCTTTCTTTCACTTTCCCTTGGAATGTAAGCCAAATAATTATTACCATGGCATTCAGAAAATTCCTATGTTAACATGAAAAAATGAGGTCTAGACATGCACAGCCACATAAATGACAGCAACTACAGTGAATAATGAGACAAGTTTCACTAATTACTTTGGCAAAATAACTTCCACCAAATGGCCCTTTCTTTGCAGCACGCAAGATAAGCCAGTTATGTATGGCGCCAAGGGTCCAACTGAGACCAGGGGTTCCATTTCAGTACATATGTGAATGATGTGATAACCTTTCCTGTATTAATAACAAATAAAACTATGGTCAGAAGAGGAAAAAATCATAAGTGGAAAAACAATTTTGAAAAAGTAGGTAGAATCAACAAATCAAATGCATAGATATCAAAAATCAAAGACTCATTACTCTGGAGAAACAAGACTGCACTTCTGCAAAAGAATGCAGAACCTTTGGTTATGAAGTAAGATTTTGTCAGTAAGAACAAAATGAATAACTCACATGATACCTTCATTATTTACAGAATGTTGCAGCACGCATGGCAAAAAAAAAATTTTTTTGATGCAGTTATAGACATTTAAACCAGAGAAATCAAAAGAACTGATTAAGAATCCTAAGTTCCATAAAACAGAAACAGGAATAAAAGGTCTGGACTTTTACAGGTGACAGAGTATGGTTATAAAACAGCTAAGTGTTTGCGTTCTTCATGTCAAAGTAAACTATTGTAACTTCTAGAGGACAGTTTTACTTTCTGCTTCCTTCTGAGAAGTGGCGGAGTTCTGCAAGAAGTTCAGCATCTCTTTTCTCCAGCATGTCTGAGAATAAATCTGCTACACTAACTTTCCTATCAATAACAATCCTTCTCAAATCAGATGCCTCTGCAATGCTAATCATTTCACCAAGGACCAAGGAGTCTATCCGAAGCAATACTTCCCAGCACAGAGCTAGATTATCTGGTTAAAATAGGAAACCTAAGAATCACATTGTTGAACTTAAACAAGTAATTAGTTTAAACTCAAGCCTACCTATATTAAAATACATTACCTCATATAAAGAAGTCAAAGGAAAATTAAAATCTTGACCAACAGAAATTTATGAACGTTACTCCTCAAGTAAAACATGCATGCTTAACATTCTTGCAACCTCACTAATGGCATCCGACTGGACAATAATTTCATGTGGATGACCCAAAAAAAAAACAAAATTTAAGCATCTGACACCCCGTAAAGTCCTAAACTAACTAACAGAAGGCAACCCACAATGAAAGACATTGTCAAGTTTCATCATTTCCTTTTCAAACAACCAAGTTTTGACAGCTCTAACAAATTTGAGGTGTGTCAGTTCCAAGTAAACAGAATAACCTTATGAAGGTAGCTGGGCAAAGATATCAGACGTAGTTGCAACAGCACTATCATTTTGGCAATAACAAACACAGCTAAAAAAAGACTAAACATTAATGAAACATTAAAATTTGCAACCAAGACACTCAAACAAAACTACAGAAAACCATAACTGTTGTAACTACAATAAGCTAAGTTCAAAGTACTATCACCTTTCCCACCAGCTCTTCTGTTTTCGTTCTCCAGTTCATCTACCTTATCAAGCAATAACTGTTTCTCCCTATTTGCTTTATTCAGCTCCTCAACAGCCTTGAGTCGTTGTTTATTCAAATACAAAATATCTAAAATAGTATGAGAAACACAAGTAAAAACACTTAAGAAAAACAAAGGAACATTAATTATTTGCCAGTCAAACAGAGACTTACTCTGCTGAGCTTCCTTGAATAGTCGCCATATCCCATTATTTTTCATTTCCAGTTCAACATTGGGAGATTGTTCCTATAAACAAACAACAAAACCTTCCATGAAACTGGAATTCAGGACACAGTATATTTAAAGCTTCCTTTTGTGCTACTAGACAATACTCTTTGAAAAAAATATAACTACAGTAATTAAAAATGTTCAAATTTTTAAATAACAAAAATGCATAAATTTACTTCTACCTAAAACATGATATTTGAATAGCCATTACATTTTTACAATTGATTTTTTTTAACAGACAATTGATTAGTTTTTAAAATAATAAATTTTTTTAAAAAAAAAAAACAAGTTGGAATTACCGGTGACATTTCCCCATTGTCATGACCTCCAGAGCTGAAATGCAGATAAAAACAGTAAACAATTTTTATCAAAAGAAATATAAAAAATTCACAAAAAAAGGAAGGTAAGCTCACTCCATGGGTGAAGGAGTTCTAGATAAGCCATTGATTTCACCATTCTTCCTAAAAATTAACATTAATTAATTAATTAAAAGTCGCAAAGCGTATATTACTGCTGAAAAATTAAAGAATTTTTTTAGGTTTACCTAACGCAACGAAGAGCAGGAAGTTTAACGAATTTAGCATAAGGGGTTGTGGGAAAGAAAAAGCGATGAGAAGGTGAAGAAGGGATCGCGGGGCTTATCAGAGTTGCCATTAACATCCTCAAATACCTAAGGCGCGCACGAGAGAGAGAGTATTGCTAAGATTTCATACTCTTCGTTTAAATAAATATAAATTAATACCAGTTCAACGAAATTGTTTGTTAACGGCTACCGCTGTTATAAAATAAAAAGTTGAATTTTTTTTTATTTTTAAGAATAGAAATTACATTTTATTTTTAAATAAAATTGAAATAAATATAATTGCATTTTCTACAAGTGAATATTTGCTGATTCATTCATTTTGAAGATTTTCAATTTTCAATTTTCAATTTTCGTTTTTTTATACTTTTTCCGAAATGGTGGCCCGGGTAATTTTATTTTTGTTATTTTTTTAATAAATATACTGTTAAAATTTTTATTACTAGTAGTCCTTTTTAATTTCAAACTTAAATAATTTTAACTCCATAAAAAAAATTTGAACATAATAACAAGCACTTGAAAAAGTTAACTAATTATTTTTTTAATATTAACTCTTTCTTTCCTAATCTTTCTCTGCCAAAGGGAAAACGCTAAATAAATTTCAATAGGGACTAAATGAAAACTTTCTTAAACTTGTACTAGTTTACATAATAAATGACAAAAGAAAAAATTATTTTAGACTTTGGAAATCCTGGAAACAGTCAGTGCTGGCTCAGCTTGCGCTTTTTGGCCATCCTCCTCATTCGTTCCCGCCGCTCTTCTTCCTCTATCAGCCTCAATTGTTCTTCATCCTCCTGCCTCGCTATTTTGGCACTGCAAAAAACAAATAAATGCACTTTCAAACATCTACTTCCTTAAGACTTTACTCAGACAGTTCTCTACGTGCAAATCCTAGCATCATATATTTAGCAAAGAAATGAAATTTGGACAATTTTACTAACCTTCTTCTTTCCTCCTTCATAATCTCCTCCCAGTTTGCCTCCATGTCACTATCATCATCGTCGTCACAAACTGGATATCTATCGGTGCTGCAACAGAAGAATAATAATAATATAGTAATTAGACAAAGAATTTTTTAACCATCCAAATCAAATTACTAAAAGCAATTATATCCCCTGCTGGCTAAGAATTTAAAATAAAGCCAATCTACATCTAGTTCATGGCATATTGGCAGTAGTGTGTGCTCATATGCTGCAAATGGCAAAACCTGGCTACTTGTTTTTTGCAATCTCTTGTGAACGGTAATAACAAAAGAAGAATAAAAAACATTAAGGTTTCAACAAAACGGCGAGCATGGAGAAGCATAAAAGAAGAGAGGTCTTACTGGAACATGTTTCTGATCATCATTAAAGCCTTTTCATCTTCACTCAACTGCTTTTTCTTAGGTCGCTGAACATTTGACGAAGTATGAGAGTGAGATGAGATTTGCCTGACTGGCTTGTTCACCTGAAAATGTTTTCAGAAAGGGAATAAATAAAAACTAAAAATGTATTCCAAAAATACTGACAAAAGAGAAACATTTGTGTAAGACTACCTGAGGCTTTGATGATACCGCAGGCCTTTGGGGCATGATCTTATCCTTGCTACGTTCTTGTAATCCCTTTTTCAGTTCAAACTTCTGTTTTGAATCAGATGAGGGAATCTTTGAAGGAGGTGCTTTAGGTGCACTGGGTGGGAGATTTCTAGGTGCTGATGCAGAAATCTTCTTCTCCTTCTTTTCAATAGGCATCTTTGAAGGAACAGCTTTAGGCCCGGCACCACTGCTAACACCAACAGGTCGGCCAGGCCTGATTCCATTGCTAATACTAACAGGACGGCCAGGCCCCATACCATTGCTAACACCAACAGGCCGGCCAGGCCCAATACCATTGTTAACGCCAAGCTGCTTTTTAGAATCCATTGACATCACATTCGGTTTACTGGCAGAAGAAGGGTTGTAGGAACCACCTTTTTGCATTTGACCATTCAAAGGAACTGATTTCCTTTCTTCACGAAGGCCTTGGACATTTCTACCACTATTGCTGCCCAATGGTTTTTTGTTTTTTGGTGGCATTCGAGCTGATTGTGCCTCTTGAAAATCAGCAAAAAACCTGTATAAGTTATCTATGTTTTAAGCTTCACAGATTAAAAAACAGATTTGATGCAGAGAAGTAGTAACCTACCAGAGGTTGGAACAGAAACATTTCTAGCTAAAGGCTCTTTTGCAGGAGTTGGAACCTCTGCATCATCTGATAGAAATGAGTAATCTCTTGCATTCTTAAGTTTCTCAGCTCTCTTTCTGAGCTGCACAAAATCCAGATATTGAAAACATTCATTATCACAGACCAGAGGTCTTTCAAATGGTAAGACCAAAATAGAAGAGCTCAGAATAAATACCTCACTTGTAACTTTGGGCGCCTGGCCTCGTTGTCCAAGCTTTGGTCCAGCACTGTTAGAAGCAGAGTTCTTTTTACTCTACAAGAAATCACGAAGGTTGTCAATACAAAATGTTCAAAGACCAAATATAATTTGAAATGTATTAAATATTCCATCTGCATTTAAAAAAAAATTCAGAATCTAAAGTACAAATCAAGATATATGCACGGACTCAAACTTCAAATAAACAAATTTCTTTATTTATTTTATTTGTAGATAAATCATTATTTGGAATAAATATTTAAAAAAATCTATTAACAAGTAGCATAATGGGCATATACAAAAAGGGAAAAGAATTGGTCTTGAAAGGCATCTATTTGCAAATACCAAAACCTGACTCGATCTCCAAACACTAGGCATGCTGCGCATGCATACTTCATTGAAGCAAACGTGATTTGTTTAGTTATGAAAACTTATGCAGGCTTTTAAACAGTCAAAGTTATAGCAGTATCTGATGGGATAAATGACAACCACAGTGGGCTAACAGGGTTAATCAGATTGGAGTTTGCACAACCACGCATATCACTAGGATTGAACACAGACAATATTATATACAACAAGAAGGCTGCAAAAAAAAAAAAGACAAGTGGTGCTTACAGATTGATTGGAACTCAATATCCTTGATACCAAATTCTCGTTTTCTAATAATGACTTGCTCTCTTGGATAACTCTTTGAGCAATAACCGGCCGAGAAGGGCCAAAGAATGATCCAAATCTGCAGGATGACAACATTTATAAACTTAATTAGAATAATTATGGTTATGTAAACCTGGAATAGACACACTTTGTAACTATTTATACAGTAAAGAAGAAAAGCATCCTTATGTTCTATAAACCCTGAATCCAGAAATGTGTTCAAGTATCATAGAACTACTGTAATGGCAAATAGTTCAAAAAACGAAGCACGTCACTCACTTGTCATATGGAAGCCTCTTCTCTTGAGAAGAAAGACCAGCACTACTTTGTTTCCTCTTTCGTCTGATAGAATCTTTCAACCGCTGCCTTAACTCCAGATATTCCATTTCTTCTTGTGTAGGCTGTCTAGCTTCCTCTTCATATTCCTCCCCCTCTTCTTCCTCTACATCTTCAGCTTCATCTTGATATTCCCCTTCCATGTCATAATCATCATAATCTTCAACTTCCTAGATAGGAAAAACCGGCAATATTAAAAAAATTCCTTTAACAGCAAAAAGTCCAAACTCAAAAACCCTTGTCTATAATAGCAAAAATCCACACTAAACAACCTTTTGCATAAGAGCAAAAATCCCCATTAGGCAGACTAGCAATTAAAACTTGCATATACAAAAACCATTATGTTTATCATTTTCTATCTGGTTAGTAGTAAACTTATTCTCTTTATTTGAGTGATGAACTTAAGTATACACGAATAATAAGCAACTTACCTGTCTATCATATCCCCCCATTGCTGATTATGATCTTTCAATAAACTTATCACGCGAGCACGATTAAAAAATACCACAGTTTATGTTGATTAAACTTATCAGACTAGCACCAATCAAAAAAATACTGGATACCTGAAACATCAAAAAAAAAAAAAGATTAACGATTGAACAAAAAGGAATGAAATTTGGAAGAAAATTAACTACAAACTACTGTTTTTGCTTATATCTAGTTCAAGATCTTAACGGAGAGCAATATTGAAATCTGGATTAATTTGCCCCTTTAAAAAAAAAAAAAAAAAAGAAGAATAAATAACGGAATGAAACTTTTCTGAAGATCATTTTTTTTCAATTAATTCTCCTCAATTTTGCATATTAGTGAAAAATGATAAACAGCATGTCTTCATATAAAAAATTAATCCAAAGAAAAAAAAGAATAGCGATCAGCAGAAGTTTAAACGATTAACTCTCCCAATTATAGATGAAAAACGTAAAATAAACACTAATTTCCACAGAAGCAGATCCGATTACACCAAAGTTAAGCAATCTCCATATGAATCTGTCAAAATCTAGTTTAATATCAACCAACTTCTCTACCATTTGTTAAATCCCCACAGAATCCCTTTTTAAAAAGAAGACATAAACGCGTAAAAAAAGGCACAAAAAAAAAGGTAAAGAAACAAACCGAAATTCATTGATCTGATAGAATCGGCAAACAATACCTGAAATTGGATCGAAAATAGACGAAATCCACAATTTTTCAAGCGAAAATCCTAAATCGGCACTTCAAGAGAGCAAGACTCAGGATCTATTTCGCAAAGAAATAGAGAGAGCGAAACGCAATTCTTCGATCTTCAGAGCTCTTAAAGATGGAATTTGAGAAGTTAGGTTTAAATATTAGGGTTAAAAAAAAAAAAAAAAAGAAGCTCCCAGAAACAAAGGGATTGAGTCTATCGTGCGCCCTGGGGCATAAGGGCCAAGGGCATGCCTCAGTTTTCTGAGTTCATGAGCGAGTTCGAGTTAACTCGGTCAAGTCCTTGGTGGAATGCGAAAAGACAAAACTGCGTTTTTACTTGTGGTAACTGTTTTCTTGAGAGACGACATTGATACGGCTCAAAACACGGCCGTTTGGACGAAAAGTTAAAACCCTATAAAAGGAAGCTCGAGAGTAGCAAACGGTGCGTTTAGAGGAAATTGGTGATACCTGCAGAGTCCAAAAAAAAAAAAAAAGCAAGTTTTTTTTTTATGAGAAAAATCTTTCATAATAATTTGTAAACTAATTTGTAAGACATAACTATTTCATTTAGACACAAAAAAATGTTATAAATATTTTTATAGCAAAATTAATGATTTTTTGGTTTTCAAAATCAAATTCTGCTTGAGTTTTAGCATTTATACAGAAGGTAAGTTAGCATTGCAATGAAGATGTTTGATGATATGCTTAAGAGAGTGTATTTTTCCTGATTTATTCATATATATATAAATCTTCGAGATAATTTTCTATTTGACTTCTTTGGAAGTTTAAAATTTTCCTTTTCATAATTGAATTAATTTTTTTTTACTAAAAATGGTGCTTTGTTCTCTTTTTTGTTTTGGTTTAGATTCTTGGTCATTACTCTTTTGATGCTATTGTTTTCTGCAGAAATGGCAAGTGAAGAAGACAAGAAATTAACAGGAGAAATAAGGAGAGGATTTACCAGATTTTTAAAGATTTTTTTACCAGGTATGCAGTGTTGGGTTTTCATGGGAGTGCTATTTTGAATTCATTATCTTTAAATGGTGGTTTGGGTTGTTGCAGGGTGGCAAAGCTTGATGAATAGGTGGCTGTCGGATGCAGACTACTTACTGGCTTTCAACAAGGACTGGGTCAGTGCTTTGGAAACCGGCATTATGTTTTTTTTTATTGATTGCAAATGTTAGGATGGATTCCTTTCTAGTTTCCTTAATGATAGTGTTTTCTCATTTCTCCTTGCAGAGTTTCTTCGACCCCCTCCAATAAACAAGACGTCTAAGTTGATTGGGAAGATTATTAAAGCCAATGAAACAACGAAGTGAAAGTCATTCCTTGATGCTGGTTGTATTAACAGTCATGACACTGCAAAATATGAGCTAGCGTAAGTACTTTTATTCTTCATAGATAAAGCATTATTTGGTTGATACCTAGAAAAAGTGGGTACCTATAGTCTTCTGTCATATTGTTTAATTCTACAATTCGTTAATATGATTATAACGTAAGTAACCTAACAAATTACCTCTATAGGCATAAAACTTCAGATTCTGCATCACTTGCTTCCTTCCTGTGAATCGGTAGTCATTTACCTTGTACGGACCTTTCTTATTCTGCTTGTTTCATGTGGCTTTTGTTCTTACATAATGGCCTTTCATATCAGAAGCATGCACATGCCTACGTGGACTACACGATCATTTGATTGAAGGTAACATTGTGTTTGCAATTTTAGTGTCTATATCTGTACTTTTATGAAGGCTGTAAGTGTTTGTGATCTTCTGTGTGCTTGTTTTATGAGGAGATTATTGAAACTAATATGTTTTAAGTAACAACTTACAAATGCAGTCCAAAGCTTACTGAATGATCTTGAAAGCCTCATGGAGGATGCCACAGTTGCTTTGCAAACGACAAATGAACATTTATCTCCTCTGTCGGACGAGGAATTTGTTGATGAACTGGAGCCATAAGAAAGTAGTGGTGAAGTAGGTTTGGTGCTTCAACTCTTTCTATTTGTTGTAAATGATATGATATGTCGCTTCTTTACTCTATTCATCTTCCATTAGTGCAGGTACATTTTCATTTACCCGCATAGCAAATGCCAGTGGTTATTTTTTCCTTCTTTGGCAGTATTTAAGTCTTTGCCTGGTGCAGAAAATGTCTTCCTTTTTGTCCTTCCTACTTAAACCCCTTTCTATTTAGGGCAGATTCTTGTTAATTATTACCAATTTCAGCGCATCAACTCGCCCACAAAATTTTTGTGAATTTGTTATTTCCCAATGTCATTATGCTGGCAAAACTTTAATGATTGAAATAACCTTTTTAATGACGGAACTGACCTTGCACTGGACCACCTATCCATGAACCGCAAAACATCCAACAAGAATAGTGGCTTAAAGGCGAGGCATTCAAATTTTAGAAACTTATTGTGTATCTATTTTTTGCTAGAGAAATATCCAGTTGTTATTGTTATGATCATTCATACCAGAGGCAGGAGAGCTGTACTCTTTTTTTTTTCTCTTAATGGTATTTTTTTTTTATATCTTTCTGCCTGCTGCAATTGGCTATTAAAACATAACTTGTCTTGCTGAATTCGTTTTTTCCTTAAGTATGAAATTTTATTTGATCTCATCTTCACGGACCTGAAGTGACAGATTATGCTGCCCTTATGGGGATGATTTATAGTATGGTGAAGCGGGACCATGTGATGCAGGTAAATGGGCTGCTCAACATGTATTGAAATACCTTTCATATGGAGAGAAACCATTCCATCAATAGAGATAGGGCCCTGGGACGATTTCTTTTTCTTTTATTTTGTTGTTTTTTTATAGAACAGTGACAAAATATCACCCTTCTACGGCAGTAGAAGATTGTTACTTCTCTAAATCTCAAGTCATCATCAGGAGAATTAAAGAGTTATTGCCTAATGTGGTCTTTGCGATCTTACGTGAATGATCATAGTATTCATCTAGCTTGGAAACTTGCTCCTTGAAATTTAATTTATTATTTTTTTAGAGAATCCAGGGTTGTTTAGACAGGAAAATAGAATTATTTTGAATTAAGCCCTGCTTTGCTATATATGTTTGATACTTTGTAGCTTAGAAATATGCCATCCTATTATATAGTGTATAATAAATAATTCTAAGTTTTGATTGATTCTATTGTCCAAGATTAGGTGCTTTAGTAGGGACTCAGCCCGGAACATCCGAAGGCAGCCCCCACTTGCTATTTAAACCATGAACTATTTCAATCAGTATCAAAGCCTGAATGGTTAACGAAGGCAGTAAAAAAGTGACTGCCAAAAGAAAAAGTTTACTTCAGTTAAAAACCATAGTACATATGAATTAGACCCCAATAAAGAGTATTGATTATATCTTTAGACCACCAACAAAACTCTTTTATTTCTCTTACATTTGATCATTTTATGCGCAACTGCTAACAACAATTTCTTCCCCTTGTTCATTATTCCAGAATTAAAAGTTTGGACCAGCTGCTAGGATCTCCTCAGTCAGCTTGTTGTCCTTGCCAATCTTGTAATTTGTGAAGGTCTCAAAGTTCTTCTTGAACAGGCCAGCTAATTTCAACAGTGTGTCCTTGTATGCCTGCTTGTCAGCCCACTGCAATCCCAAAAACCAAATACATTAAAATCAAGAGAAGTTCATGTGCTCTGCGCTGAAAAGTTGAAGAATGGGCAACTTACAGTGTTCTCTGGATGCAGGATTTCAGAAGGCACTCCCTCAATCTCAGTGGGGATCTCGAGCCCAAACACCTCAGTTTTCTCGTATGTTGCATTCAAGAGGCTGCCAGAGTGAATGGCATCAATGATTTTTCGAGTGTATGGTAACTTGATTCGGTTTCCAGAGCCATAGCTGCAGAAAAACCTCTGGTAATTAATTCAACTTTTCCCGCAAATAAGTTAAATGTTAATATTCCAAAATGGTTCATAATGAACAGCAGTTACCTTCCACCAGACCAGCCAGTGTTGACAAGCCATCCTGTTGCTCCATGCTTCTGCATTTTCTCCGCAAGCATGGCTGCATACTTAGTAGGATGCAACATGATAAATGCTGCACCAAAGCAAGCTGAGAATGTTGCTGTTGGCTCCTTGATACCATCTTCGGTGCCAGCCACCTATATTATGTATCATCAACCAAGTTCAGTCAAAATATGCAAGAATCTCAAGCCTTATATAAGCAATCAAGTCTGGCTCAACAGCACAAATAAGAAGGGGACAACGAAAAACTGTTTTAATTGGTCATAGAAAAATACCAGAGCAGTGTAGCCACTAATGAAATGGTACATGGTTTGTGCCAGACTCAGCTTGCTCACAGGTGGAAGGACACCAAAGGCATCACATGCCAAAAGTATGACATTCTTAGGATGTGGACCAACACATGGTATCTTAGCATTGGGAATGAATTCGATGGGGTAGGCTGCACGAGTGTTCTCTGCAAGCAAAGAAAATCATATTAAAGATTTGTGTAAGAATAATTCACTGCCAAATGTTCTGCATATTATTCTATCATCCTCCATCTGAATTCATGGTTATCTACGGAATTCATTGATCTCTACCACAGTAATTGACATCATGGAATTTGGCATTGAAAGCTACTTCATCATCTACTTGGTATTTGCAAATCCTCTATTTGGTATTTCATATTCTGTCACAATTTTCATTAACTACATCGTGCATTGAGAAAGTCAACAAAATGCTTACTTCTAATTTTACATATAAAACAACCCAATTAGCAAACTATATGAGCTGACTCAGCATTGTTCATCTTATCCATAGGCCACTTTTTTGAGTCAAGGTACTTCTGATGCATATAAGACTCCGAGATTTTGTGATAATATATACCTGTAACTGATTTGTCCCCATAATCCACTTCTCTTGTATGTTCTTCAAACACTACGTTTTCCAACACTGCAGAAACAAAAAAAAATAAAAATCAAACTGAGCACTATGATTGTATTCCAGGTAAAATAATCTAAGAACAGAGAGGACATAGAATTTCACCAGTGCCAAACTTAATGGCATTCCAGATATCAGGCTCCTTCTCCCTTGAAAGATCAATGCACTTGGCATAGCAACCCCCTTCAATGTTTGACACACCATTGTCACTCCAACAGTGCTCATCATCTCCAATCAGATACCTATTGTGATCAGTAGACAGAGTAGTCTTGCCGGTACCTATTAAGAAAATTATTGAAGTAAACTCATTAGTCAAATTGCAAAACCAAGGTAATAAAAAAGGACATGTATCCTTTTCAAAACAAATGCATCAAGGCTTCAGTAACAAAAGTAAGAGGACACATATCGTTTGGGGACCAGCACCACATCGTGCCCTTGCTCCGATGATACTATACCTGACAGTCCAAAGAAGAGGGCAACATCTCCATCTTTCCCCATATTGCAGCCAGAATGTAAGGAGAGGATTTGACGCTTAGGCATGAGATAATGCATAACACTGAAAAGACCCTTCTTCATTTCCCCGGCGTACTGAGTGCCGAGGATGACCATTTCCCTCCTAGCAAGATTAAGGTCTATGCTAGTGGAGGATGTCATGTAGTGTGTATAACGATTACACGGGAACTGTCCAGCATTGTATATAGTGAAGTCCGGAGTACCGAAATTCTCCAGCTCTTCTGGAGTGGGTCGGATACACCTGTCACCCACCCAATTATCCATTTGTACACTAAGCTTTTACCATTTGTTTTAACCTTATTCCTCCACGGAATTCTATTAGGGATGATAAAAACTAACATGATACATTTATTATTATATAATTAACATCATCACAACGATAAAAGAGACTTATCTGGGATAGGCTTAGACCTGTGAAACACACAAACAAAAACGGCTGATAAAAATTTTTAAATTGCTTAGCTTTTACTTACATGTTGTGCATGAACAATGAATGATAAGCTCTAGCAGAGACAATCCTGACTTTGATTCTGTTCTGTGGATCCCAGTTCAAGAATTGATCATTCACAAAAACCTGGAAATCGTTTACATCCATCAATCAGAATTCATGTAGATTCATCAGTAAATAATTTCTTAAACTGGTTGCCCATGGGCTAAGTAGCACTAATTTTACGTTAATATAGAAACAATCAAGTATATTACATTAGTAGAATTAATGTTACATTTTAATTATTTATTTACTTAAATTAATTTTGATTTCATTTTTTAAAAAATTTATATTTGATACACTACAACACATAATAACATATAGTACTATATATATCAAATATTAATCCTAAAAATAAGTACCAACAAAGATTAAAGATAGCTAAGTTTCTAAATAATTGACTCCCTATAATTATCAAACTGAGATATATTCTATTCTCTCCCTGCCTCACAAAGCCAGGAAGACATAACCTAGAGCATGGACCCCACTGGGCCTCATCTCCAGTTAAGGACATATAAAATTCAGTCATGCAAGGACAAAGTTGCTTCTCCTAATGGATGAGGATGCCCGTAGGGCAACTTGTTGGACCGCAATTGATACCATAGGTGATAGGACCCAGTAACCACCCCCCCCCCCCCAAACCCACATCACCATCTTCCAAAAGTAAATATTACTTTTATTCTTATATACTTTAATTTACCATGCTACCCTTTTAGTGTCCATTTATTTAAATTCTGTCTATGCATATAGATACTTCTCAACATGAACAAAAAGTTGCAGACTTAAAAAAGAAAGTTCACCTTGTCCAGAGAATTCAAGTAATCAACAGCTCTTTCTCTGTTCACTAAGAAGGTTTGCTCGTCCATTTCAATGTTGGGTGAGCCCCTGTCATCCCCAATTATTAGTTTCTAGTAAAGCACTATATATAAATCCTTCTTAAGTCAAAACTTCCTTATATACTAGTCCGTGAAAACACTTACTTTCCCCACCAAAGCTCATCTTGGGTGGTGTCATCGATAACAACCCTCTTATCTCTTGGAGACCGCCCCGTCTTGGCCCCTGACAGGGTGGCTAGTGCACCAGTGGATGTAATGAAAGATCCCTTTTCATACTTGATAGCCTGTTCATACAACTCTGCACCGATACAAGAAACCATAATTTTTTTTTATTTTACTTTACGATATGTTACTTGATATACCATTGAGTTAAAAGGTTTCGGCGGTGAATGGTTTATGTTATATATACCTGCAGGAGAGAGGTTGTAGAGAACATGGGTGAATTTCAAAGAACTGTCACTGACACTGATGGTTGGGGCCTCCAAATGGTGGTGCGCCACATGCGCGACCGCTTGAGTAGTCTTCCCTGCTGGGTCTCCTCTTACCACCTTTGGCCCAGTCCCTCTCGTCAGTGACGCCAACGATGCACTGTTCAAATAATTAATGAAAATTAAAAAGCAAAATCATTAAACCAAAATTATTAGGAAGCAAAGATTACAATAAAACATTCATATTTCATTTCATCGGATTCTCGGGACCAAGCAAGAGGGGAAGAATGAAGCCTGAAAAAGCTTCTGCAAATCGCATCCGTTGCTTGACCCTAACAATCACGTGGGCCACACATCAAAATCCACCCCAAATAAAATACAAAGTTGCATCATCCATCATGATTTTGATCAATTTCTGTCTTCCACCGTCTGATCATCCCACATTAAATTCAAGGGGGGTCCACTTGTACCATATTATTATTTTAATAATCGTCTTAATTTTGATTTTTTTTTTCTTTTAATAATCTGGGTTGCATGTGCACGTATACCTGATGGACTGGAGCTGCTGCCTCTGGCGTTCCTCCTCCGACAAGCTAGCGAAGGCACCCTGGGTCCCTTCGAGAGGCGTAGTTGGCGCAGATCTCTTCTTCTGCAAAGAGTGAAGCTCGTCAATCGTCTGAGCCTTAACGGTTTTTGCACTATCATCGTGACAGATCCCATTTCCCTTTTTCTCCGTCAGAATCCTCGCCAACGGACTCCTTGGCGTGGTCACTCCGTTTCCGTTTGCCCCCATATCTTCACTCTAAAAAATGACAATAAAAAAAGAAAATTATAACCCTTTTTTCTAGTATTATCCACAATATCTCCCTAGCTTATAAATAGTAAGAAAAAACAACGTTGTTTTAACCAATTTTAATGTTGAAAAAAAAGAACCGAAACATAAGGCTCCGCCATAAGATCATGTTTTGAACATTTCTCACTCTTTCTTTTATCAAGATTGCCCGTAAAAAAATGTAACAACACAGACTTTGCCCAACGGTTCGAACACAACTTAAAGTTCGAATCCCGTTTTCTCTCAAAATAAATTAAAAATAAAATAAAAGATGATATTAGTACCAGAGATTGAGAGAACTGGATATGCAGAAATAAAATAAGGAGGTTAATGAGAAATGAAATGGATCATTCAACGTTGAAGAGGATGCTATCGAAGGAAAAAACGAGGAAGGGTTGATGAAAAATGAGGCAGGAGAGGAGTCGAATTTAAAGGGTTC